GTATATGACATAAATTAGAATTGATTAACGTATTCAATTGTTTTCTGTCATTTTCTGTTTCACACGAAATTACTACAACTTATGATTTTTAAATAGCACCCTCGCTATTTTTTTACTTTATTCGATAGAAAGTGTCACTCTGAATAGAATGACATATCACAACTGTATATAATGTAGAAAATGTCAGCTTTTGACATTTTCGCATTTTTCGCTTTAAAAAAATTCTGTAAAAGGCTGTGTTAAAAACACTAATTTTTAACCATGGAGCCTTGGAAAAATAGATTCGATCTTCTAATGTTTTAGTGTCTTGTGCTGGCCGGTTAAAAGATGCCCAAATCGTATTTTTAATAATATCTCAATTTTAAGAAGCTGGCTCATTAGCATATTTGGAAAAACCATTTTTTACGAATAATTTGGTACCACACACTTGGTAAGTCAAATTTTCGTTATGATCCGCATGTTACAATTTCAAATAAACCATATGAGAAAATGTCAAAAGTTGACATATGATATGTCATTCTACTCGGTGTCATTTTCTATCGAATTAAGTAAAAAAATACCGATGGTGCCATTTAAAAATCAATAGTTGTTGTCATTTCCGGTGAAACAGGAAGTGACTAAAAACAATTTAATACGTCAATCAATCCTAATTTATATCATATACTAACATACCAAATCTCGTTTTTTATCTAAAAAAATAAAAAAGTTTTAGGGGTGAGCCGCTTTTGAGACGCACCCCGTATAATAACAAAGAATATACGATTACAATTTTAGTTTCTCAAAGATAACGAAACATTGCAATTTCGTTCCATCCTGTATATGAAACATTTAAAAATTTTAAGCAAAAAATTTGGATACATTTTAATATTCAACCTCAGATTTAACATCAATGTGATATGTTCTAACAAATCACTGTTCTAATAAGAAAAAAAATAAAGCAACATAATAATAATAATTACGGTGATTCTTTAGTATTGCAAAAATTATAAAAAATTTATTACAGATTCTTTGAATAAAAAAATAAACACTATAATAAAAATAACACACGTGTGAAGTACCCTTTTGCTATTTTTTTCGCAATATTGAAGAATCACTCGGTATAGGTTATATCTACGATTTTTTTTATATTAAGTACTTTATACTATACCTCTTAACAGGAGTATATTATCTTTGGTATTTCTTTAATTCATATATTCTTAATATTTTCCAGTTTTTAAGATATTTTATAATTTCGAAAAGCACTAATTAATTCAGTTATTACTTTGAATTGAATAATTTAATATTCATATCCGAAAATCTACTTCAAATTCTTTTTTAATGCTTTTTGCAGTCTTTATAATTTGTATACTCATTAAAGTTAAAGAAAATTCAAACGCAAGCCACATTTAGATAGATACAGTTCCAATAATACATTTTTGAATTCTTGATGTCATTTTAAAATTTAATGGTTTTTAAGGTTTTTTGATGATTTTTTAAACAATTTGTAATTTTTTAAGCAAAATCAACCCACTAGAACAAAATATATCGAACTTTAAAATACATGAAAACAGTATAAAAATACAATAAAATAATAAAATTTAGATAAATATAATAATGTTAGTTTAAATTCACTTAAAGTTATCTACATGTTTTTAATCATTGATACTCTGTCAGTTTTTATATTTCTACTGACTTAGCCGTATTGTCCGCTCATCAGGTTAACTAAAATAGTTTTATATCTTTTATTATACACTATTCCAATAGTTATATTTTATATTCGAAATTATTATTTCTTCTTATTTCTTCGAAAAGTTGATTTAAAAATATATTTGTCTACCATAGTACTGAGAATATACTGGACAATTCAACCTCGATGGCAGATTTTTATGTATCTGTGGAGAACTGCTCCCTTTGAAAAGCTGTAGCATCTTTTCTATTTTAAATAAAACACCCGGTATTTTTGGACTTTTTTTTAAACTACTTTTGTTTCTCTTAATTTTACTGTATTACTTTCTTATAACTATGTCTAATAGTTTTTGAGATAAAAATAAAATATGTGTAATAATTGCAAAAACTTTTATCTTAACTAAGCATTGGTAAAATCATGTTTTTAACTTATCGAAAAACCTACAATCGATCATTGAACCGCCCTGTATATTATTAATTTGTTAATGTTTTTCTAGTATTAGGTACTGGCATTCTAAGCTTTAAATTTCTCTGATTTGTTACTAATTATTCGCTATACATTAACGTCTAATTAAGAAGTCACAGCGAAGCACAGTTAACAGTACATGCACAATTATATAAACGACTATATATTCTAATTTATAATAATAAATAGTACAATAACATCACAGATATAAAAGGAGACACCCAAAGACGAATTTCCATATATCTAAGACATTGATACAATTTCTAAAAGTATTTCTTTACATTACAACAAAATAATATTACATCAATACATCCATTATATTTTTATATTCGAATAACCAATTTTTTAATTAGTGTATTTTCTTATTAATTATTAATTTTGATATTTTTTTGAAAATTTTACATAATTTATTATAATATGATGCACGGTTACTTCAATTTCCGTCCAATAATGTAGTTCAATTTATGAGACTTTTAAAGCCTCATAAGTGTCAGTATATTAATAATAACATATTAGAAGAAAAAAACAAACTGAGGGAAACGACGTATATACAGTGTGTTTAAGTATTGTGAAGAAAATACACTCAGATGCAAAGAAACGCAACGGATATTTTTTTCGTGGAGTTTAAAGTGCTATATTTTTTTTACTTTTTAGTCTATGTTTTTTTAACATACTGTATATTATAAATCTATCAACTTTAATTTATAAACTTCAGTATTTGGCTTATATTAACTTTAAAACACCCTGCATCAGAACTATATATGTCTCAAGAGCATTTTCTTTTTTGACTCCATATCAACACATGCCTTGGTCAATTTTTTAGGAGTGAAATGAACTTTCCACCAACAATTTGCAATTTTTTCAATTGTCACTAGTTTATGATGTTATGCATTGAATAAGAAGACTAAGGAAGGAGCATAATGCTATCCATGTATTCATGTATGGTGGGCGGAAAAGGGACGCTAGGGTGGGGATCCGTGACAGTTCTGTTTGACGATTCATTTGACACATTTGAATTTGATTTGAAATTTTGTGGATTTGTCAGTCTTTACGGAGCTTATTTTATGTTATTTATTATTTATTCTACTACTGATAGTTGCATAAAGGTAGTAAATCTAGATGGAAATTGTGGCAGAACTTAAATTAACAGTGAAACTATCGCGATTAAAGACTCTAAAATAGTTGATTGTGTAGCGTACGGTAGATCTCGGCAAAAATCGAGTGAAATATTGGAACAACTTTTCGCTAGTAAGTGACTATATAACATACATACGTGTAGTAAACCGATCATTTATGAAATTCACTTAAATTAACTAATTATATATTTTTTCTTGCATTTTTGCTTTTATTTACTACTTGTCAAATATTATATGTCAAAGAATTTAGATACGTCAATCAGGCTTCAGTAGCGTATCGGATGTTTGTGTTAATAAATAATTATTAAAACTTATCTATTTTTATTATAATAATATGTTTTTATAACAATTTTAATAACTACCAACATTTATTCACAACGTAAAATAAAAAAAAATATTGAGTCTATCCCACGTCTACCCTACATCATAGTTTTACATTTTTTAAATAAAATTAGAACGGCACTGATAAACCGGAATTTAAGTCGGCCATATGTGAGTCCCATCGCGGTAGACCTAAGATTTTTTATATGCTCCTTCCTTAGTCTTCTTATTCAAAGATGTTATGTTAATATCACGAGGTGGCTTTGGTGCCTATTGTCGTAATGTCATATCGACACTGATTAGAAAATTTGCTACCTAACTTATTAGAAAATATATATTTACTTTACGAAAATATATACCTATCTAAGTTATTGCACAGGGTGTTTTAAAGATAGGGTAAAAAACAACTCCTTGATTAACCTTTAAAAAATCAAGGAAATAAGGCTAAAAATAAAAAATAACATTTTAAACTTGACCAAAAATTCTTCCGTTGCGTTTTTTTTAGGCTTAAAAGTGTTTTAATTCTTTTTAGCACTGAGATATAACCACAGATTATACAGATTATAAAGTTGTTGTTGTGTTTTTTCTTTATAGTTTTTCGTGGTTCCAATTTTCGGAATCGGGCACTAGGTAGGTTACTAGTTTGCGCACAGAGCCTCTAAAATTGTGCACAGCTGCACAGCGCCTGACCGGCACAGTTATTAGAGACATATCGGAAAACCGAATAGCGTCATGCAGTATTTACGCGTACCTTATCATGGTTACGATATGCGCAAGTCAATTTTTAACGCAACACCCGCTAATAACGTTAGCGCCTGACGTAATTTGCTGATCAATTACACCAAGAGCTATTTCTAAATAACGTTTAAAAATTGCTTAAATGGGCATGTGCGGGTACATTTGACAACCGGGGCCGGCCGGCGAACGGCGAGATCTTTTATTTTAGGTTATGTTTGAATTATTTTGAATTATTACTTTAGTTTTATTAGGTAATTTGATATTTAAGTAGCTGGGATTAGTTTTAATTAAATAAATATGGCCCAAAATATGCCCTTCTAAGCCCTTCTAAGAGAATTTGTTGCTTGTTGGCCTAAACCCACTGGCAGACGTTGAACAATGAAGCACTGGAAATAAGCACTTTAGCCCTTTAGTTTTAAAATACCTAGTAAACAAAACAATTTCAAAGTTTTAAATTCAAAGTTAGGTTAAGTTTAAATAGCGGACGCGACGCGAACAGAATTCTTTCCGATCCGATAACTATAAATGAAGAGAGTTAATACCACCTCACGTAAAGAAAATAACACCTGGCCTTATTAACGTCCATGCATGCTATTCGGTTTAGCGATATCTCTCTATTACGCTGTTTAGTGTTATTTTACGCGAGTTTATTTTTGCGCACAGAAAATTTTAGTCGTTTGCACATCGTCATAAAAAACAATTTTCGTACCACGAATTAGGGATAAGATTTTTATCTGTATACATATAGTATACCTAATCTGTGATATAACTAAGAAACCCAATAATTCTCCTGTAGGTATTTAAAAATTAACTGTATTAGACATCCATGGAGTTTCACTTGTTATTTGATTTCTTTTTAATAATTAATTATTTTATTTGCACCTCCGTTTAGTTCTGTGAAGCAGACATAAAAATACTATGAAGTCTTACATTTTTAAGTACACATGACAACATTACAGTATCTAGTACCTAGTTTCTTTATAATACCTTTAAAGTCTTTAATCTTACATTGATGTAGGTATAGAAATTTAAATAAAATAGGCGTATACAACCTTTATATCAATGGTTATCGTTTTGGTCAAACTTCCTGTCAGTCTAATCGCTATCAGAACTAGACTCTTCTGCCACTGGGGCCGGTTTTTCTGGGGCTGGTGCCGCAGCTGCTGGGGCAGTAGTTTTGACGTAGGTCGCCGAAGAATAGGCGTTTGGTGCCTCGCCCTCTGTATGCTCTATTCCGACCCTGTAGAATTTAAAATAAATAAATAAACTCAGATTAAAATTCTCCCCAAATCAACAATAATCCGTTCGACTATAATCATTACCAAGAGCACCGATTTTTTTTTAAATTAATAGTATTATGTGTAATAAAACTTAACCACAATAGATCGTGGGCTAGGTCTACAGGGGAAACTACGTAAAAAAGGCACCAAGTACACTACCTCACAGGTGGTGCGGAAATGTGTGCATATTATAAAAAAACAAGTTTTTCAATTTTTAAAATCGCCATATCTCAGGAATGGTGGTTCGTAAGAAAAAAGTATAAGAACCATTATTGTAGAAAATTTAATGGTCTACAACATTTGTTTAAGGTACTTTTGCGATGGCGCTCACCGTTTAGGAGAAAAAATCAAAAAAACATATTTTTGACTTTTGACCTTGGATATTTTTTTTAGCAGACGTGGGAGGGGTGGAGATTTTTCAGATATCATTTATAATACTGTAATTAAGACCTGTACCAATTTTCAGATCTATGCGAATTATTGTTAATTGAAATGTCTATTTTGACTTGGGTATTCATCGACAAAATCCCTACGAGCAACCGTTCTCAAGATATTTAGAATAAAAATAGTCAATGCGTGTCATTATTGACAAAAAATAAAAATGTTCAGTAGATATAATAGTTATTTGACTGAAATGATAAATTTCGGAGCTTTTTATTTTTTTAAATTAATCAAAAATTTTTCTTTGAAAAAATGATGATAAAATTGTTGAACTTTCGGTTCAAAAACATTTCAAATTTATGATTTCAGTCTAATAACTATTTATCCACGACTCGTCTATAATTTGATTATTATACATGAGTTTATGAAATAATAATAATATTCATTATTCACTAGTGAATAATGGTTTCATTATTCATCGTTTCCACGGATATCTCGATCCAAACTCCAAACCCATTCTTCTATTTTAGTGCCGTTTTTGTTCCAATCTCCAACTGTTACCTCACCTACCATTCACTCAAATTTACATGCTAAAAGAGTCCAAAAATATAAATAAGGAGAACCACTCACACGGGCTAAGGGGATTCCCCGTCGGTCCCAACGATTTTAAACGGAAATATGTAAATATACATATAGTATATTTTAGAAGCTCGGTTAATACGGAGCATAGACGGGCGACCTCGGATAATCAGGGTCTTTAGATTGGATCGGTTAATCCGGAGCTCGGATAATTGCGACTCGGATAATTGGGGTTCTACTGTATTTAATCTGATTATATTCATCGCAACAATATTGATCAGCGCTAATTAACATTGAATAAGGAAAATCGCGAGCCTATTGGAAGATTGAAATAAATAATAATATCGAGCTCAGAAATTTAAAAATATTATTTTTAACTTTTTTTATTGTGAATTTGAAATCTCAGTGTGCGATCTAATAATATGCATAATATTAATCGTAGTTTATCGTATATTATTATATCGTAAATGTATTTTTTGCTCATTAGTTTTATACAGGTACGGACAAAAAGTTATTAGTTTTCAAACCAGTTAAAAAATATGTAGGTGGCGCCCTCTACAAGTAGGAGTCATATTGACATCAAAATCAAATTTCTCGTGTCAAAAACTGCCAGACACCAATTTTCATCCAAATATTAACGTGACTTCAGAAATTATTTAGAAAAAATCGAAATAAAAATGAAACTTCTACAACCAGTATCTCCGAAACTAAGCATTTTAGGACATACATTTATGCAAACTTATACTTATTTTTATCTTCAGAATATGCTGCCGAAGTTTCCGGAATACAGTTCGGACCACTCTGTATATTATAAATGTGCTGCTACATGACAAAAAAAGCAGCATAGTTCGCAAAGTGGTTCTTCTTTAGTAGGTAAATTTTAAACAACGGTTTGCTAAAATTAAACAACTATAGCGAACACAGTGTCTTCGCGTGTCGGACACAAGTGGCTTTGTGTAAAAGCGCTCTTACCTGTACTCGTGCCTAGCAAGGTATCTGACATATTTTTCAGGCGGCTCATCCGAATCGGAATTCTGCAGACTCACGCTTCTGCACGTCGTATGACTCACTTGAGTCGCAGGCATAGTAAATTCCACGTAGCAATATTCTGCCAATTTCTCTGGCATCTGATCGAAGCTTGTCAAAGCTATCCTGCACACCATGTTGTGTGTGGTGTAAGCGCCTATAGATATAAAAAACGATTATTATAATATAAATTTGGCACCATCAAACCGTCTGCGTTGCATAGATAAAAGATACAAGTTTAGATTGGAAAGTGCCCATAACGCCAATGTAAATACTATTTGACGCTGTTCTTACAACGGTCGCGACCCAAAGCTTTTGATAATTTCGGAGCGGTTCGGCCTTTTCCGGAATTATATCGCCAAATATTATTTATTCAAATTTATTATTACTTTCTTTTAATTTTATAAATAAAAGACAGCGTGTTGCATACAAGAAACTTTATTTTATATAAGGACATGCATAAAATACCTATGAAACATTGGAAAGCGACGTTATGCCACGATCCACGATGGTTTTTGCAGTTCACAATTCACAGCACAGCTTTTTAAGTTTTTAATGCCACTTTTTCACAATTATCACGGGTTTGAGTAAATAAAACTTAAATTAAACTCACAAGATAGCATAATTACTTTGAAAACGGACGCTCTAAACACTTTTCGGAGTTTTTTCAATGAGAGCGGTTTAGATTTTGAAAGATTTTATAATTTTTGAAGATTCTTTGATAAGAGAAAATTATTTCTGTTTTTGTTTGCGGTTGTTCTTAGCAACCGCTATAGCAGCGCCAGATCGCGTACAACGGTCGCGACCCAAAATTTTGGCAGGCATTCCAATCTAAATTTATTTCCTCTATCTATTTTTTTTACTTTGGCTTTTGACAAGAAGTGTCAAATAAAATTCGTAAGCCAACTTTTACTGATTTCTCTTTACTTATTATTTTAATAGCTATCGAGTTATTTTGTTCACCTTGGCCTTCTTTTGGTAAGCGCGGACACCTCCACACGATTGCTCTGTGTTGATGCTCGTATTTAGCCTGTCCTGACGTCACTTCTATTAAGCTTTCTTGTAGAGCATCCATGGTGCCTAAGATACGTTCAATTCCTTTAATTTTTCCTGTCCTAAAATAAGTAAAATATAAGTAGTACCTACAGAGTCACTATAATGTCACAAATAATTTTTTAAACAATTTTAAACTTTCCAAATAATATAAAAAGATTAAAAAGTAATACCTTGTAAGTAATTATTATACAGGGTGGTCCGAACTGTATTTCGGAAAGCAGCATATTCTGCAGATAAAAATAAGTAAAAAAGTTCGTATCAATGTATGTCCTAAAACGCTTAGTTTCGGAGATACAGGGTGTAGAAGTTTTTCTATTTCGATTTTTTCTAAATAATTTCTGAAGTAGCGTCAATATTTTGATGAAAATTGGTGTGTGGGAGTTTTTTGGCATGATTTATTTATTTATTTATTTATCTGGTTTTAAGAGTAATAACTTTTCGTCCGTACCTGTATAAAACTACTGAGTAAAAAATATACATGTACGACGTTTTTTACGTAACAAAGGTATCTAGACAGTGGACGGGAATGACGACCGTACAGCTGGTTCCAATAAAATTGAATACGATTTAAAACATATTTTTATTATTTCGGGCAGTATATTCTTCGATACCAGTCCTCCATTTATCTACTCATGTCATGCTGACATTCTGAAAAGTTTATTTGCCACTTTGTCAAAAGCAAATTTGTTTTATTCAATGTCTCAATAACCTTAACATGCCAAAATACTTGACACATAAATATACACTGCTCAAATATTCGAAAAAAATGTGTAAAGAGTCGTATTCATTTTTTTTTGGAACCAGCTGTACATCTATTCAGGGCGGCTGTCAATAGGATTATGTGGACCAACATGATTGCCAACATCCATAGAGGATAGGCAGTGAAAGAAGAAGAAAGGTATCTTGGTAAAAATCGCTACGTGTAACAGTTCTCAAGATATTTGAAATCAATACCTGTCATCATTGACAATAGCTTTTTTCGTTTTCCTATTATTACCGATTCTGAACCGTCCTAGAATTGTGATACGTATGCGCAGAAGGAAATATGAAGACATTATTTCATTTGTGCATGCGCTGGAGAGTTCTAGGACGATTCAGAATCGATAATAACAGGAAAACGAACAGACCTATAAATTAAACATGTTGACTAAATAGTTATTAGACTAAAATAAAAAATTTAAAACGTTTTTGTTCCAAAAGTTCAATGATAACTGTTTATCGTCATTTTTTCGAAGAAAAATTTATTATTAATTTAAAAAAATAAAAAGTTTCCAAATTTATTTTTTGTCAATAATGACATGTATTGACTAATTCCATTCTAAATATCTTCAGAACGGTTGCTCGTAGCGATTTTTACCAAGAGACATTTTTTACGTAAAAAATCACGAAAATATATATTTTTTTCACTCAGTAGTTCACTCAATTCTTCAAAACAGTTAAAAAACATGTAGGTGGCGGCCCTTACGAATAGGAGTCATATTGACATCAAAATCAAATTTCTCATATCAAAAAACTCCCAAACACCAATTTTTATCAAAATATTGACGTTACTTCAGAAATTATTTGGAAAAAATCGAAATAAAAATAAAACTTCTACATAAACTCTCCAAAACTAAGCATTTTAGGACATTTATACAGACTATTTCACTTATTTTTATCTGCAAAATATACTGCCGCAGTTTCCGGAATACAGTTCGGACCACCCTGTACATTGAGAAACTATGGTTACGCTAGTTGAATTTGATACTTTATGTCTGTTTAATAATATATTTTCGTATTTTTATGATTAGGCCATATACAAACAAATAAAAAGAGACTGGCAAATTAAATGTCAAAGAGAGGGACAATGTTCCCGTAGCGCAACTCAGAACGCAAAATTTCGTTCTATTTATGTTGATCTGCGCATTGCGTCTATTGGGCCCACTATCTCATTCTAATATAACAAGAGAGAAAGAAGCAACCATATAAAACGTAATTTCTAAATAAAAATTAGAACAATCGCCTTTCGTTTTCGTCATCATGACAACCAAGATGACAACATCATGAAAATTCGTCATGTTTGTTAATTTTTCTTTTGGTGATTTACCTTTTTTTCTAAACTCTCCATTTTATTGACTTATGAATATGGATAGGGAACAAATTTCTTTGTTCCATATAGGTATTTATATTTTGTTACTTATAATTTTCGGTTATACTATTTGTTATTTTATTTGCTGCAGGAGCCAGTATCATCTATTTTTTATATGTATCGGTGCTCCCTTCCTCTGATAGATATCTTAAAGACACCCGGTAAAATAAAAGTAAGTAGTTATATTTATCATCTTATTAAGGAAAAAGTAGAAGTAGTAGTGTCAAAAGTATTTTGAACCTCTCTTAACATAACAAATTAATACAATTTTTTTCATTTTTTGTGTAGTTTTATAGCTGGTTTATAGTAACCAGAAACTTTATTAATATACCTATTTTACTTTTGTTTTAGGATTAAAACTGGACTTGAAACTTCTTGTAAAGTCTTCTTTGCTTGGATATTCACTTTGTTATTGCAATTAGGCAGTTTTTTCGAAAATTAGATTTTTAATGCCCTTTAAAAAAATTCGCCGATCGTTTCCTGCAACAGTCAGTTCTTCTGCATTTAAAATTGGTAGGTGGGTGGAATAAACACTGTTATTTTTTGTTATTATATTATAAAAAGTTTATTTTTGTCATACGCTCCCAAAAACAGCTATTTTACGGACTCATTTCAGTCCGTAAAATGTTTCTTTTTCGGCCTAGGCCGTAAAGGTCGTCATGGCAACCTTTATGGACTAAAATGTCTAAATTCGTTATTTGGTTGTTTTATTTTGTCATTCGAAATTTGTCACAAAATCACATAAAATTATACATATATTTATAATTAAATTATTAAATACTAACAATATCAAAAGCTAAGTTATTTGTTTAAAGTAAGTACCTAGGTACCTATTTAAAAGAGCTTTTAAATTAAAATATTCTTAAATTACAGTCACAAACATTCAAACCATCGTCAATTTGGTCGAAATATTCCATGCTGAGAGCAGTGTTAGTGTTAAAGAAGATATTTATATTGACAAATTTCCAAAACTTATTGCTTTTTTGAAGAGGAATTCGGTTGGTTACGAGCCTAAAAGTCTAAGGTTTTGTCCATAAAAGAGATCGGTGATTTTTTGGCCACGGCTAGTGATGAAACTTATTTACTTACTAAGGTAAGTTTGCGATAATGATTTTAAAATATATAGATGGTTTCTTATTCCATTGTATTTGATTTTAAATTATTAAATACTAACAATATCAAAAGCTAAGTTATTTGGAAAAATAAAAATGAAATGAACAATTTTGTGCATTTTGAAAACTTGCATCTGCAATCGAAACGACTCCTCCATTGGCAGGTAAATTTACTTTCTGATGAGGTGGAGTAAATGCGAACGATGATGTACTTGGTAATACATCCGTGGAAGTGGTCGCGATTTTCTTTTCCCCCATTAGCAGTTTGCAAACTTTCTTCTTTTTCTCAATAGATTCTTCTATGTAACCTTCGGCCACTGTGGACGACCTAAATAATTATTGTTGTTTAGAACAAGATCGGAAAATATTAAAATTTTTACCTCCAACCTCCTAGGCGTTTCAGCGATGTAAAATCCACATCTGCATCTGCAGCAAGAGTAGCAGAACTACGTCGGAAACAATGACCTGTATATTCGTTTGGGTTCGACAACTTTAAAAATGCTGCTACAATCGATGGCATCTTCCCAAATGAATGAATGCCGACTCGTTGCACGGTGCATTTTCCTTTACGATAAGAGATGAAGACATAATCATGTGGTACATTTTTTGGCCTAAGACAAGCATATTTTCTATACAACTCAACTGGATTGACAACGTTCCCTTCGTTCACCACCGGAAACACTCTTTTGATATTAGTTTTTGTATCCGCAAGGGTAACTAAAAGGCAGCTGTTGTCTTTTTCTATGATGTCTTGCACTCGTGAGAGTACAATTCTTCTCTTCTACATGCTCCACAAAGGCCAATGACAAGAGCTACCTAAAAATCAAATACAATGGAATAAGAAACCATCTATATATTTTAAAAAATCATTATCGCAAACTTACCTTAGTAAGTAAATAAGTTTCATCACTAGCCGTGGCCAAAAATCACCGATCTCTTTTATGGACAAAACCTTAGACTTTTTAGGCTCGTAACCAACCGAAATTCTTCAAAAAAGCAATAAGTTTTGGAAATTTGTCAATATAAATATCTTCTTTAACACTTAACACTGCTCTCAGCATGGAATATTTCGACCAAATTGACGATGGTTTGAATGTTTGTGACTGTAATTTAAGAATAATTTAAAAGCCTCTTTTAAATAGGTACCTAGGTACTTACTTTTTCGTGGAAATAATTTAGCAATACATCTTCATTTACAACGAATACGCCATTTTTGTCTTTCCATTCATTAAAAACATCATATTCTTTCTGGTAAATGGCACGAGACTTCACAGGAAGTAAATCCAACACGATTTCTTTGGCCTTATTAGCAATATGTTCGGGATTTTGGAACATTTTAAAATTGTTGATGAATTTGTGTGATTTTGTGACAAATTTCGAATGACATGTCAAAATGCGATGAAATAAACAAACTCGTTACTAAGATATGAATTTATAAGCCAACTTTTTCAAACATTATAATTTCAAATATGGAAAATTTGCAAATATGCGTTCTAAAAAACTGTAAAAAGCGTATGACAAAAAATAGTGTATGTAACACGTACCTAAATTATGTTTTTTAGGACTCATCTACTATTTCGGACTCGGCTAACGCCTCGTCCGCAAACAGTAATGATTCGTCCTAAAAAACATCATTTTAGGTACTAGTTACATAAATAGCTATTATTTTTATGTATAAATAAATATGTTTATAAAACAGTACAATTTTTGCTTTTTTTTTATAATTTCCCTTATAATAGTATGTAGTACTCTTTCGTTCTGAAAGAAACTGAAATTTTCACTTAAACTGATTTATTCCCTACACCACGTTCCCTTTACGTGGTATAGGGAATAAATCAGTTTAAGTGAAAATTTTCAGTTTCAGAATGAAAGAATACTACTAATAAAGACTAATTTAAATTTTCCGCCAGCCAGAATGTGCGATAATGTCTTACGAGACGTTTTATACCTATCTCTTTCTTTTTCATATAAAGCACACATAATAAAGAAAGATAGAAATAAAGACGTACGTCCTGCCATGGTCCTGCTAATTGGTTTCAAAATTGTTATTCTGAGTTGCGCTACTGGAACGCGGTCCCACTCTTTACCATGGGATTTGTCAGTCTCTTTTTATTTGTTTATCTATGGATTAGGCGTAAAACTGCTTTGTTTTTATGCCTAAGCGTTAAAATGATTTTTTTATATTGTCAATCACGTCGCAAAAATTAATATTTTGTGACGTTTAAAAAAAATACTTTTGAAAAGAGTTATCTAAAGAAGTATTCTAAAAAAACGGTTATCTACCTTCTATGTGCTGATTTGACCGAACCATATCTAAAATGTTTTTCCACTCTGAACATGTAGATCCAACATTCCGGAATGGGGAATCTGATCATGACGTCTTCGCATGGAATTTGGCCCAGCTTTCTTGATGCGAATCCCGGTACTAGTACATCAGCTCTCAGTTCAACCTAACAGTACTTACATTACAGAATAATAGCTACTTTATTTGTATTCAAACTAATTTACCCTCATTCCAGTAACACAAATTTGAGCTTTCAGTTGTAAAGGAAGTTCTCTATTTTTGGGCGGCCTAACTCTGAAGCGCATCAACTCTATGTAACAAGCATCTGGTGGTTTAAACCTGAAATTATTTCATTTTTGTATTTTATTTATTATACAGTATGTACCAGGTCGTCTTTACAAGAGGAAAAACTTTTTGAAAAAAATGCATTTTTCATAAAAATAATGTTGTTCCAAAATAGTTAATTCCATTTATACTTTTCCAAATTTCCATAACGTTTTAAGAAAAAATAAAAAGAAACATGAAAATATAGTTAATCTCATCAAAGATATAATTTGATTATCTTAGGAAATCCCTTTTTATGAATTCGAACTAAAATCTATTTATAATAGGATAAATCTTTGAATAAGAAGACTAAGGAAAGAGCATATCAAAAATCTTAGGTACACCGCGATGGGCCTCAAATATGGCCGACTTAAATTCCGGTTTATCAGTGCCGTTCTAATTTTATTTAAAAAATGTAAACCTATGATGTAGGGTGGACGTGGGATAGACTCAATAATTTGTTATTTTATTTTACGTTGTGAATAAATGTTGGTAGTTATTAAAATTGTTATAAAAATATATAATTCTAATAAAAATAGATAAGTTATAATAAGTATTTATTAACACAAACATCCGATACGCTACTGAAGCAGGTAAGTCAAATTAACGTATCAAAATTCTTTGACATCTGATCTTTGACAAGTAGTAAATAAAAGCTAAAATGCAAGAAAATATATAATTTAGTTAATTTAAGTGAATTTCATAAATGATCGGTTTACTACACGTATGTATATTATATAGTCACTTACTAGCGAAAAGTTGTTCCATTATTTCACTCAATTTTTGCCGAGATCTACCGCACGCTACACAACCAACTATTTTAGAGTCTTTTTCGATAAATCGCGATAATGTCACTGCTAATTTACGTTCTGCCACAATTTCCATCTAGATTTACTACCTTTATACAACTATCAGTAGTAGAATAAATAATAAATAACATAAAATAAGCTCCATAAAGACTGACAAATCCACAAAATTTCAAATCAAATTCAAATGTGTCAAATGAATCGTCAAACAGAACTGTCAAGGATCCCCACCCTAGAGAGCTTTTTCTGCCCACCATGCATGAATACATGGATAGCATTATGATCCTTCCTTAGTCTTCTTATTCAAAGGGATAAATGGATAAAATATGACGTCTAGTGATGTGTCGGTATTTGAGTAACGTGATTTTGGAGCGGTATTTTTTTTAACGTCGTGTCGCGCTCCACAACGAATCATAAACCTGTTACTGAAGAACGACGATCATAATGACGACAAAATTATAAATTATTTTAATTTAATTATAAATTATTTATAATTTGCAAATAAATTATTTATAATCGCTCTTGAAGTTAGCTCGAACCGTAGTAACCGCATAGCGACGTGTTTAGCTCCAGCCGTCGCGATTTCGTCGGTCGCCAACAGTAGTAGTATCAGCTCCGTGTTCGCTCTGGCCGTCGCGCTCCTAGAGTTGTAGTTCCCTGACGCGAACAGAAGTAACTGCTGTAACTGGGCATCGACGCTGGACCTCGGCGGCGACCTACTTCGCTCCAGCCGTCGCGCTCCTAGGGTTTTAGTTCCCTGTTACGAACAGAGGTAACTGGTCCCTGCTGTAACTGGCTATCGACGCTCGACCTCGGCGGCGCGGCGGCGGCTTACTTCGTTCCAGCAGTCGCTGGAGCACTTCTAGGGTTCCGTTTTTGCCTGTCGCGATTTGGTCGGTTACTATTGGCGTTGGTGCTCCCGTCGCTACGTTACTTTCGAAATAGCGATTTTTGGTATGTATTAGGCATGGTATAAAATAGCGTTGTTAGAAAGATGAAACGTAAAAGCAAGTAAAATAAAAATGTTATTTGCTTTTATACATTTATATAAGTTTTATTGTTTATATCTATTTTTAAGGTCTAATGATGGCTGGAATTGCCGAAACCGGTCACCAATAAAGAATTTTTTGACAGTGGTTTAAACTTTGTTCTTAATTTTAACATTAAATATATTATGTTGCAATATAATATATTTTTGTATTTCTCAGCAACGATAATTTTAAAAAATATAGGGCCATTTTCTATAAAGTAAACACCGCTCTCCATAGACGTTCTGTTAAATTCAAATAAATTAAGTAGTGTATTTTAGTATATGATTGATAATAAATACATGTTAGGTAAATAAACCTTTTTACAAAAATATGAACAAATAAAGAAGAAAATATGATTGAAAAAAACGGAAACTTGTACAGCCACTCTCAATAATTGATTAAAAATAAAATCATAATTAGAGTCTTATAATCTAACAAGAAAGAGAATTACATTTTACTAACATATTCGGGAATAACGTAAGAATGATTTTATGATTACCTGACATGAACATTAACATTTTACTTCTAAATTTTCCCACGAGTAAGAAATATATGCATATATTTAGATAAAAACTTACATCTAGATAAAAATTTTAGCATATGTATTTATATATGATGGAATAATGATTCTAATTATGTCATTTTTTTATTGTTTAGGTTTTTAAAGCAAACATATTTTAAGAACAAAAGATAGAGAAATGTAATTATCTTACAAATGTTTTTTTTTTCTTTAAATTACAGCGGTGATAACGTGGATCAGAAGAATATATATCTAAATTATTATTGGAAAAAATAAAAATTTTTCATTCTGAATAGATGGCGAATAGAAAGTATTGAATACCAATAAATGCATGTACAAATTTTAAGTCAATTCTATTCGTGCTTAAATAATAAAAACAACGTCAGTTTAGGGAATAGGGCATATTTTTTTAATTTTATTTAATAGTTTAATTTCTAAAATTGAAACCTATCATTTTGCCACTGTCATAAATTCTTCTAGTCATCCTGTATTGTTTACAAATTTATCTATGAAATTGTTTATGAATTTACACGGGTACCGAGATAACGGCAAGGTTGGGAGTAGTTGCAGTTTGTGAAAAAAGTTGGTGGAAAAGTCAATAAATCTTAGCAAAATGTATTTTGAGGTGGTAGAATGTAGAAATGAGTGGGAGAGGAGTTAATCACTGCGACTTTACAGATCTATCGTCTCCCCCTTCCTTGAGTTATAACTCATCATACAGTCCCAGGGCTTTGACAAAAGCCAGTATCTCCAATATCAGTTGTGCCTAAGTTCATGGCACGAATGGTTGTAACAGCTGGTACAATTGTAAAAAGTAGGAATTTGGGAGTAGGTAACTAATGCCAGAAATACTGCATAAGCGAGGACTGTGGAAATCGGAACCTCAATTACAAAATAGCGTTATTTTGTCGCGGTATTTTTCTGGAACGGTCGCCACTGTAACGCGACTCATGTGGAACCGGTATTCCCATCACTAATGACGTCAGGTGAAAAATTATAAAATTATTTGGAATATGTATATAAGATAAACCAGACTAAACTTGTCACAAGAGGTAATTCTTTTTCTCCCTTGGTATGTAAATAGCTATTATACTTCGATAATATAGTCTATAAAATGAATAACTTTGAATTTTGACCGTTATTTTTTACCAACATGGCAAATATAAAATCCCTCTATCCAAAAAGTTACTGATATTCTTTAAAATGAGTGCCTGAACGAATCAGATAGGTAACTCTTTTTACTTTCGTGAAATAGAAAAGGAAAATAATAAAACAAGTGACAGTTCTTCCTCTTCTTGCAAAAATCAACACGAAATGTAATTGACAAAAGTAAAATGTCATCAGCTTTTGACATTTCTAAATATTAGACCAATGCCGTCTCTAATAGAACAGCCACAGAGCGAGATTTATGACGTCACGCTAGTTAGATACTACGGATTAATATATATGTTGTAGAATACATGGAAAACATAATTATTCCTCGTATTTTTGGTTTGTATTTTAAAAATGATATAGTTTACATGAAATATACATAATATACAGTTAATAAATAAAATATAATATATACCTATTTATAGTAATAAATACTTTGGCAAATAAAACTATGAACCATACAAATGCAGCAAATGTTTTACAATATACAAATAATGAATAGGTGGTACATAAGATAATGGGTAAAATGTAAAATATATATATTTTAAATTTTGGGGTTTGAAAATCGATCTAATTTAACAAAAAACATTCAATATCTACTAATAGTGATGTATTATTATTGGCATTCACAAAATTTATTTATATATTCTAATGTTTACTGCAATTAATAAACTAATATAAACTTGTCAAAAGAAGACCATATATTTTTTTAAATTATTATTCTTAACACAAAACTATCTACATTGACTATGGAGTACGATTTCAGCCATATTGTAAAACATTTGCTGCATTTGTATGGTTCATAGTTTATCTGCCAAAGTATTTATTACTATAAATAGATATGTATATATATATTGTATTTATTAACTGTATATTATGTATATTTCATGTAAACTATATCATTTTTAAAATACAAACCACAAATACGAGGAATAATTATGTTTTCCATGTATTCTACAACATATTTATTAATCCGTAGTATCTAACTAGCGTGACGTCATAAATCTCGCTCCGAGGCTGTTCTATTAGAGACGGCATTGCGTCAGCATGGCCGCAAGTTGCTAACCTAATAAAATTAACACTAGAAAAGCCCGCGGGAACTGTCAAATTCAAAGTTATTCGTTTTACAGACTATAGCTATTTATATTAGTATTCGAAAACAATATTTCGTGATAATATTGATACTATATTACGTACTTTATTATATGAGTATTTTCATATTCGTCCTGTTGAACACACGAATGGAATTCTACATTTTCTAACCTAATCCATTCTTCGGTTACCACTGGTATAATATCGTGGCGACCTACAACTTCTCTTCCTTGTCTCCTCATATCGTTTATACCTAAAAGAACGTGTCCATTTAATAAGAAGTAATTAAAAAACATGAAAAAACATCCATCTAATACAAATTACAATTATTAACACAAATCAGAATAATATGCATTGTCACAGATAAAGTCCGCATCATATGACACATTTTTCTTTTAAATTAATTTAGATATTATTTATTTCAAGGTTTATTGTTCTTTTTTAACTTACCTAATTCAATATCCGGCATTCCTGTCAAAAAGCCCAAGAAGAATAACCTAACTCGAGCAATTTGTTTTTCAACGTATCCTAAACAAAAAAAATATAAAGTGACTCTCATAACTTTGCAAATTATGACTAATTCAAAAATCAATAAAAGTTGGCGTGTACCGGGTGTCCCACGAAGAATATAATATATAATAGGGCTAATAAATAATATAATATATAATAAGGCTAATATATAATACAGCCGAGAGCTATTCTTAGTGGGACACCCTGTACGTTATCTCAAAGACGTCAAAACTATTATCAAAGTTAAGTTCTAATAATAATAATAGCTCCCGTATATAGCGTTTAACGCCTTGGGAGTAGAAGGTACAGCTTGCCGTGCTAGAACCGTTCGGTATCTAATGTGGCTAGCTCAGAAGGTAATGTGGCTAGCACTACGATTCCTATTATTACCTCAGGACTGTGGATCCCAAGTACTCATTTAATGCTGAGTCAACCTAGGTACCCAAACTATTTTTATTTTATTAAAAATAGTCGGCTGATGAAATGCCGGGTGTAGGATTCGAACCCACAACCTTGAGATTGGTAGACAAGAGCTGTACCTCTACGCCACCGGGCAATTGTATATCTTGTTAAAAAAAAGACAGCACGCTTAAGCACCAAGTAAACCAATTTGTCGATAAAAAAACTTTAAGTTAGTAGTCATGACCAATGCATAAGAATATTCTTTGTAAATCTGATATTTGTCATTTTCGATTTTTTAATTTTTTTCTAATTTAACTTTTGTCATTTTCAATGTTCTTTAAGAAACTTTGATATTAAATCTCCGTTTTGTTTAGCTAAAACTGCAATTTTCATTACAATAAAATGCCTAATCACAACCTAACCACATAATAATCAGAGACAAAGTAATAATGTCGATAAAAAAATATTTGTATATGTATTGTGTTTAAAATTGATGTAAAAAATCGGTGACAAAATTATGAATTTTATTTGACAATATGTTACAAGTCAAAGTAAAAAAGTAGTAGCTGTAGCAACATTGCAATGTGCCTTTGTCAAGTATTTTCATGATATACACGCCAACTTTTACTAATTTTCTTATTATTTTACCTTCCGAGCTTTGTTCCACATACAATTCGTCAACGACAGTAACCTGAACTTCCTCCATTTTGTAATGTAAGGCTCTGTCTCTGTGCGCTTGCAGCCTAAACAAGGCTTCTTCAATACAAAAAGAAAATTGTTTTAAGTCCTCGTAGCTCAACGAGCCTAATTTCATCACTTGGGAGACCTGAGGTGCGTGTTCGACGGGCAATCCTAGCTTTTTTAAGTCGCTTCCAAATTCTTTTACACCTAAAATAACAGTTCATTTTTTTTGACAAAACTCTTGAGAAAAAAAAATTCGAGAAAGCTTGTTCTTTAATATGTCTTTTGCTATGCTCTCCTGAACAGAGTACGGACCGTCTGGCTGCCGGTAGACGTTGCGTTCACTCCTGCGCATTATATCTGTATTCAACATCTGTTCACTACTGCGCATCACAAATTTGCTCTGAATTTCAGGAACTAATGAAGGACTCTAGGACCAACCTATGCGTAGCATATATTTAGTTTCATAAAAAAGTAGCAAAATAAGGTGCAAATCGCATCCTTGTATTTCTTCTCATGAACGAGAAATTCCATAAAACACTCTAAAATGGGATATCCTGTACAGATGTGATGCACGCGCAGTAGTGAACCATAGTAATCTACCGGCAGCCTGACGGCCCGCACTTTACTCAGGAGAGCACAGGAGAGCATAACAAACGATATATTAAAGAACCAGCTTTCTTAAAATTCCTGTTTTCCTGACGGTGCTAGTTCTTGTACTATTATATGTTTATTAAGGTTAGATTAAATTTGTCAAAAAAGTGTCAAAACCTAAGGTCAAAACGTCCACTATCGTACGATCTTTCTCCGTTGACGGGTGGAGTAAAAATTTACGGATAAAAAGTGGAGCGAAACCGCTATGACCAATCAGAGCGCCGTCGGACCATCGCACCGTATCAACGGATAACGGACACATGAAAATCAAACTTTATACCCTCTTAAATATGCGATTAAGTAATACCATGTTATAAACCATACCTTGGTAATCTCCTTGAATGGCATAAGCAGCAAACTGACTCAGTTTATTTGTGATTCTTTCGGCTTTTTTCACTTGACCAGGCCGGACACCAGGCCGCTCCTTGTAAAATATGTACTGGAGCTTGATGGTGAATATCTTTCCGAATTGGTCGTATTGCTGAGCACCTATTTCGGACACTGAGTAGCAAGGTTGCAGTGGCAATTCCTAAAAGATGTTTCAGAATATAAACATTAGAAATGCAGGAATCGTTTAGGTTTTCAGCTCTAATCAAACAACTTAATGGAAAATCTAGGTCAAAAGTGTGTTGCTGACCCCCAATGACAAAGTCATTAAGGCGCCTTCTTTTCTGGCTTTTATTTTTTTTCTGTTCACTTACTTATAAAAATCGGAGATGAACTGTTGGAATATGTAGCGGAATTCAATTACCTCGGCAGTTTGATTTCGGAAAAGACCAATATCGACTCTGAAATTCAGCACAGGATTAGCAGCGCCTCAAGAGCATTGTGGAAATTAAAAGACAGAGTTTTCTACAATCATGACTTGAGCACAAAAACGAAACTTGCGGTGTACCGAGCGATAATAGTTCCCACCATGTTATATGGAAGCGAAACCTGGGTGCCGTACCGCCGACACATGAACGCATTAAACAAGCTGCAACAGAGACATCTTAGACAACTCTTAAGAATAAAATGGTTCCATCACGTCTCAAACGTATCGGTCCTTGAAAGGGCTAACTGCGAGAGTATTGAAGCCATGATTACAAAGTCCCGCTTAAGATGGGCTGGTCACGTATGCAGAATGCAAGAAAACCGCATACCAAAATCTCTGCTTTACGGTGAGCTTGTAGACGGTAAGAGGAGGCCGGGTGGACAACTCAAAAGGTTCAAGGATATTTTCCACAAAAACTTAAAGGGAATTAACAAGCAGAATGAGTGTGAAGAGGCAGCTCACAATAGAACGGAATGGAGAAGAATTGTAAAGTCAGTTAAGAGCGACAACCAAAAAGTAAATAGGCAACAAGGCAATGAGATTTTTGAATGTCTGGAGTGCGGTAGACAGATAACATCACGTATTGGGCTTTTCAGTCACAGAAAAGCTCATGAAAGAAAACGCCTTGCGTGACCATCTTCTGATGCGTGTCAAATACTCGTCAGCGAGTAATGGCGGTATGTATGTATGTATGTATGTTCACTTACTTGGAAAGGATCTTTATCTGACTGTTGATTATACAATTGCAACAGCACGCAATCCTGCTGATACTGCAACTTCAACAGGACTTTCTTCCAGAATCTTTGTCCGGTAATTTTTTTCTTGTTTGGTTGTCTAAGATGCATCTCCCATCCTTCTCCGTTATATTTTATTCTAATCAAAAGAAGAAGAATAATTAACAATAAATAGTACAAAATCGTAGTTCTTTGTGAAACATCGTTGTAATATTATCATTTTAATAAAACACTGTTTTAAACGCTGCCAAGTTTCCAGAATACAGTTCGGACCACCCTGTATTTTGTTACACTGTAGTTAGACGGTTAGTTTTAAGAAGCCCTTGCACAAGGCCTAAGAAGCCGAAACATATGTAGAGATAAATTACTCTCATTAAATTTGAAACATCTAAAAGCGTGTTTTATTAAAATAATAATACATAATAAAAGATTTTACACCTTTATTAGGTTTTGAACAATATTTACTAACCTTGGGAAGTCTTCTAAAGGCTGAGATGTGTCGTCGTCGAAGAGAGGTGTGGAAGGCGATTCTTGAGAATCTGAGCGTTTAAGTTCAGTACCTACAGGGAAAAATTATTAAAAATCATCTAATGATGATAATTTTTTTTTCTCAAGTCATTTGATTTTAAGTCATTTTTCGAAAGCTAACTTAGAAGAAAACTTAATATACATATAAGTAATTGATTTGTGATTCAAATTATTATTCTGAAATAGAAAAAGACTTCGATAAAGACGATACTGACATCGCAAGATAGAGACGATATTGAATACATTGATTGCAAAGTAATCAAAACATAAATTTAATAAAAGGAATATTCTAAATTTCAGATATTTAAATTCAATAGTAGATAGTTTAACTAAACTTAACCAAGAGTAGATAAGGTTTGCGAGCTACTTTTTTTACAGAGGGCAAGATGACATTACTCGAAAATTTTGAAATATAGATAGTGAATAAACTTGAGAATGCAAAAAAAAGTAAAATTATCAGAAAAGGTTTGTTAATTTTTTCTGCTGATTGAAAATGACTACCACTAATTTTGACGTTCTAAATGCATACGTCAAAAAAAAATAGAGGCACAAACTTCTACGCTAATTGAAAATACTAATGTATTCCACTAATTTCGAAATTTTGAATGAAGCGAAAAATAGTAAAAATTGATAAAATACTTAAAATACACTTATTTTTTGCGTGGAAACTATTCATATAACTCAATGTCAAAACATATAACTCTATTTCATAAACTTTAGATAGAAATATTGTAAGTTTTGTAATGTTGTTTCTATGTTTAGGATCCGTAATAAACCTTACTGAATGGTACTGCCTGATCTTGAGGTACAGCTGCGGTAACATCAGTTTGCTGATCAAACGGATTAAATCTTGGAGAAGTATCGGAGAAGGCAACTTGAGTTTGAGCAGGTGGAGGAGCCAGAATTGGCGTTATTCCAGAGAATGCATCCTCTGTTTTCGGTCTACACAAATATAAATATTTATAAGTATAAATTAAGTTTATTTAAGGAAGGTGTATTACCTGATAACGACAGAAAAATCCTTTTCTTCATCTGAATCCTGACTATCACGCCGCTTACCTCCAGGAGGAGCTCTCATCGCAAGAAACTCATCGAATCCACCATCATTACCAAAACCACTCTCCGTCTGGTTAGAACTACCGAAATCATTACCCCAAACATCGTCACCTTGCACAACACCACCACCAAAAGCATCAAAACCTCCGTTTTTGTTTTCATCCGACTTAACTGACTCGAATTTCTCAGCGAATGCATCAAATTCATCATGAACTGGTTGAAAATGAGCTACATTCGTGGTAGTATTGGTCACAGCGCTGTCAAAATCAAAACCTTCCGAGTTAGCTCCAGGTATAGGCGTCGGTGCGGGGGCAGGGGTACTAAAAATGTCCATCTTGTCCGTTTCCTTTTTGAACACGCTATCCAAATTGTCCTGCTGCAAGTCGGGTTCCTTGCTCTGAGTCCCGAAGTCGTCAGAGACAGAGAAAGGATTAAAAGTTACACTAGACACCGATCCTTTACTCTGACTATCGCTAGTGTCCATTTGCAATTCAGCTGAAGGTTCGGGACTCAGAACGTTATCTTTTGCTACTTCCGGTTGGTTTGTAGGGGTCAAGTCATCATTTGCTTCACCTACAAAACCAGAATCTTCCTCTTTTATTTGTAAATCCTCACTAACTAAGTTCTCCGTTATAGTAGGAGTTTTACTTTCTGCCTCAAAGCCTACGTCACAGAGAAGATCCGGCTGAACTTTTTCTTGCTTTGGAACGTTATACAAATTCAAAATATCCGCCTTAGAGGCAACTTTAGGCTGCTGACTCACAGATACGTCGAACATATCCATGATGTCGTTTTGTGCTTGGTTCTGTTGTGCTTCTGGAGCTTTTTGAGTGGGTTCCGTAGGTTTGTTAACATTTTGGCTTAGCCCGAAAGCATTGGAAGCTTGACTGGAAGGTACTGGATTTGGCGGAAAGTTTGGAGAACGCGCGGTAATAGGAGGAGGAGGTGGTTTTTGAGGAGGCGCCGGCCGCGGGGGTCTGACTGGAGGAGCAGGTCTCGAAGGAGGCATGACAGGCCTCTGAGGAACCTGTGTAACCGAAGGATTTTGATTAATATCATGCACAGCTTGAGTAGAACTATTTAAAGACAGTAAATCTTCTTGAGCTGGTTCTGGAGCTTTATGAGTTGATTCTCCGACGTCTAGAAGATCACCAAACGTGGGCTCAGGAGTGGGACTTGGTGATTGTAAGTCTCTCATAGAAACTGGACTTGGAGTTCGTGTTGGAGGAATTTTGTCTAGTAAATGTGAGCTGGTGGCATCCATTGCACCCATAACCGACATGAGAAGGTCTTGAGTCTCTTTACTCTGAGTCGGACGAGGTGGTGGAGGCCTAGCAGGTCCATTGAACGATTGATGTGAGTATTTTAAATCTAAGTCAGAAGGTTTTTGTGCAGTGGTAGTAATCTGTTCTGGCTGACTTACAAAATTGTTTATGCTGGTATTTGTCGAAAACCCCGATAATAAATCTGCGTTGGTTGTTGCAGTAGTATTACTACCGGTTGAAAAGAAATCTTGAGAAGTACTAGACATATCACCGAAAGCATTTGAAGTAGGCACGTTATTTGGTACTTGCGCTTCAGCCGGTTCCAAGTCCATGGGATCGAATGCGAAAGGATTTGTAACCGCCACAGCAGACTGTGACAGAAACGGGTTATCATCCAAAATCTGATCATTGTGTGCCGGTTCTTCCTCCATAAGAAACGGATTAGAATTATTTTGAAACTGATTCTCCGGGGATCCGAAGCCCTCATCTTGAAACAGAAACGGATTTACAGCCATTTTTAACCGATTATATTAACTCAGATTCTAAAACTTTCAATTCGGCTTTACCCGGCTGAATATTACTGGCAAAACTTGTATCGAAGGGATCGAAATTATCTTCCTCGATTTCAATATCCAGTTCCGGAGAAAGAGGTTTTTCGATTATAGTATCCCCACTGTGCACGAGGAGATCTCTATTTGGTTCCGTAAGTTCTTCTTTCTTTTTAATTAACTCATTTTCCAGAAGCTTCAATTCGGCTTTGCCAGGTAAAATATTCTTGGCTATAGAAGTGTCGAACGGATCGGCGTAAGATAATTTTGTAGTTTCGGCAACTGTGGTGACTGGAGTAAGAACTTTGGCTGAAGTGTCGTTAGAAGCTGATAACAAATCCAGCGATTGAGTTGCTAAAGGCAAAACATCCGGTTTAGGCTTGGGATTGGCTATTTCTTTGATCGCCTCTACGACCGTTACTTTGGCAACTTTAGCTTCGTCTCTAGGATCGAAGTCTTGATCGTCCAAAACACTCGCAGTGCTGGAATCGAACAATTCACTTTCAATCACTTTCAGTTCTGCCTTACCCGGGGCCAAACTCGATACAAACGATGTATCAAAAGGATCCTGGTCGTCTTCCTCGGAACTTTGAGTTCCAGGAACCGAGTTTTTACGCACGTAAAACGGCGTTAAAGGTTTCGGTACCTTTGATCCCTCGTCCAAACCCAATAAACCTTTTTCTGAGCCCGGTACCGAAAAAGAAACAGATTTTGACTGACCAACGTTTAGTACGTCCGGTCTGGAAAGGGTACGCTCTTTTGGCCTGGATTCTGTAGCTCTAGGATCAAAATCGTCGTCTTCCACTGACTCGGTTTTGTTTAAAACTGACGTAGTGGATTTAATGTCACCTAGTAGTTCTTTTTCTAAGAATTTTAGTTCTGCCTGGCCCGGAGCTTTAATAGAGTCAATCAATGATGTGTCAAATGGATCGCAATATTTGATGTCTTCAGAATTCTGATCTCCTGTAGGTTGAATGGGAGCGTCTCCTAGTTTAGAGAGATCACTGGTGCTTCCACCAAGAAGATCGCGTTGTACGGGGGTTATAAGGTTGAGTTGAGATTCTGAAAATTTAGGAATTGAGTCAATCTTACTTAAATTATCAGGAGAATAATTCTTTACCTGGTATACGGTCTTTTAGTAATACAGATTGACTGTTCGCTTGTTCAGCTCTTGGATCAAAATCGACATCGTTTTCTAGAATTTCTTTTTCAATTAATTTGAGTTCGGCCTTGCCTGGAAGAATTCTTTCAGCAAATGTAGTGTCGAACGGATCGTCTTCAAAAACTTCTGTATCTAAGTCATCTGTTTTTGGTTCGCTATCAAAATAAGATTATAAATTAATTGAATTAATAGAGAAATTAATAAAAGTTGGCCTACGCGTCATCAAAAACGGTGAAACTATTACCAAATTAAACTTTTAGTAAATAAAATAGTATATCGTTTTATTACAAGTAAAAATAACACTTTTTGTGGCGAGACTGTACAGGGTGGGTCAAATTCGACGCTTTTAAATGGAAACACCCTTTTCTATAGGAGATAGACAAAAACTAATATCGGTGTCTGGAGCTCAATTTTTGCCAAAAAAATTATTGTGAAAATCGCACATCGATATCTGTTACCGTTTCGGAGTTACGGGGTGTTTTTCAAAAATATGCATTTTTAACAAATCGCTGTAACTTTTTTGCTATGGAAAATTTTGTAATTTTATGAAAACATTTCCAAAGCACCTTTTTACGTAGAATTTAATGGTTTAAGTATAATTTTTTTTAAAATTAATAATTTAAGAATTATCAACAGAAAATTTTATTTTTTATATGGGACACCCTGTATATTTTTAATTTACTGAAAAGAATTTAAAATGACCTTTCCAAAAATATAGCACACTTGATATTTTGTTATAATCCCCTTCGAAATACAGAATTTTTAATAGTTCGCCACTTTTAACTAGTAGGCTTTGGACCCCTCATTGATAATATGCCCTTAATGGAACTCGAAAACATATTTTTCCAGCAAGACGACGCACCGCCTCTGAACGCTGAAGTTATCAGCAAATTTCTGCAGCCAATTTCAAGAATAATTGAATAGCTGACCAAGAACCCAGCCGTTGGCCGTCGAGGCCGCCTGACTTAGTGCCCATGGATCTAACCCTATGGATATATTTGCGGAAGAATAAAGGTTCCTTATTCTTCTGTATAATCTAGACAAGAATTAGAAATACTTAGCAGTTAGGAGAGGGTATCTTTCGCCCCCACTGAGTTAATGAATTCTGCGAGAAATGTTCAAAAATTGCCCGTCTGTCCATAACAGAAGACGGTCGATATGTCGAACACCTGTAGCAAAATCTCATGTCCTGGTTTGCTATTGCTGGTTATTTTTACTGTTATTAGATATAGTTTAAATGTGTTGATGTTGGTTAAATATATTTTAAATTGTTATAAATTTCTGCATCTCTCATAGCAAATATTATTTTCGTTTTAATTGATGCTCACAGCTAGAATTTTTTTGCATTACAGCCGGTGCCGTTCAAAGCCTACTTATTTAAAGCGGGCGAATTTTTATATACTCTATATCTCGAAGAGGAATCGAGCAAAATATCAAGTGTGTTATATTTTTGGAAAGGTAATTTTAAATTCTTTTAATAAATTAAAATATACAGGGTGTCCCATATAAAAATCAATTTTTCTGTTGATAACTCTTAAATTATTAATTTTAAAAAAATTATACTAAAACAATTAAATTCTACGTAAAAAGGTGCTTTGGAAATGTTTTCATAGAAATACAAAATTTTCCATAGCAAAAAAGTTACAGCGATTTGTTAAAAATGCACATTTTTTAAAAACACCCCGTAACTCCGAAACGGTAACAGATATTGATGTGCGGTTTTCACCATCATGTTTTTGATGAAAATTGAGCTCCAGACACCGATATTAGTTTTCGTCTATCTCCTATAGAAAAGGGTGATTCCATTTAAAAGCGTCGAATTTGACCCACCCTGTACGTTTGACGAGGCTGTACGTAACGTACAGGCGAGCCACGAAAAGTTATTTTTACTCCGAATAGAACATGCTATTTTTTTCAAACGCCACAAATATTTTTAAACAATTGCAAGCGTTCCAAACTTTGCACATTTCTGCTAAATAAAAGGCAACCAGGCAAAAAACAGGTATACTGGTGGAACCACGATATTATCACCAAAAGGAACGACTGTATTAGACGTACACGTACTATGACAAGACTTAAAGCACACGACCCTAAGCTAAGGTGGAAAGTGCCAGAGAAGAGTAAAGGCTAGCTAAGAAAGCTCTAAAATTAGAAATTTTTAGAAGCAAAAAGCAAAAATGGCGAGAGCTATGCGATAAGCTAGACACCGACGCGACGTGTGGGGCAAAGCATACCAACGAACGATGAAAAGGTTCTGCAAAGACTATCAAGCACCTCTTGCTATTAGGATCATAGAAGAACAGATTACGACGCTGTTCCCGAGTATGTCGAATATTAAATGGCCAGTTAATCCACCAACAGACGTGCTTCCTTTGTTCTCCCAGGAAGAAGTACTTACAGCCGCCTGCAAGCTTAAAAATCGGAAAGCACCTGGTCCGGACACCATCCCGATAGAAATTATTAAAATCGCTACCATGCACAATACGCCCGCCGTAGCTATAGTCATGAATAAATGCCTTATGCTTGGCCAATTCCCAAAACCTTGGAAAGTTGCAAAGCTGGTCCTTATCGAAAAACCGAAGAGGGAGAACGACCATACCAAAAAATATAGACCAATCTGTTTACTCAACTCCAGCGGACAGTTACTAGAATGCCTATTAAGAGATAGACTGGAATCAGAACTAGAAGAAGGCAACAAACTTCACCCCAATCAATTCGGTTTTAGGAAAGGGAAGTCCACCATTGACACATTAAACATGGTGGTCAACGAAGTAGATCGAATTAAAACCAAGAGTTACCGACATAGAGGATTTTTGGCATTGACCCTTGACATAAGGAACGCATTCAATTCGGCTCCATGGCTGGGCATTGCAACTCAACCAGAGCATAAGGGAATTAGCCCATACCTTGTACGCATGGTACAGTCGTTCCTGTCACATAGATATATCATCACAGAGTACGGCGGGAAACACAGAATGACGTGCGGAGTCCCTCAAGGTTCGATCCTCAGACCCACCCTCTGGAATACTGTTTGACCAGCGGATCTGAAGCTACGGAAGGAATGCGAGAAAAAAAAAATCGACATTGCCACGTTTATCTATAAAATTGCAAAATTGCCAGACATGAACTATAAATTTAATATATTTTTATTATATATAATGTGTTTAGCATATATTCTGACGTATATTACTAAGAAATTTTAACGTAGTTCATATTGTTCGATATGTTTTATTTAATAACGTATTTCTTTCATTCTGTATAATCTGCTTATTATGAAAGTTGAAGATTTTTCAACGATATCATTGGCAAACCGGCATCGCCGCGCATGGCCGCCTATTCATCGAACATGATTGGCGAGAGTACGTCACAGGATTTGTTACCACGCAGTTGCCATGGCTTTTACGCCTTTCCTATTTGCTTGCTTTATCCCCAACTTCAGGGTCTCTTCTGAAAAGAGTAGGAATATTGAATACTATTGAAATATCCAGTGGCGGTGTCATTTTTTTGATCATTATTACTTTATTTCATTATTTTATACCGGTTATCCTAAACTTTATTCCTATATTTTTCGTATATTTGATAGTTAAGTTGTGTTTTATTGTTTTGTTATCTTGTTATAATGTTTTTCGTTCGTAGTATTTAATTATTAATATCAAGCTTGATCGTATATTTGTATTTTAAAATGAATAAATTTGTTAAGGGTAAGACGCTACATAGTCAGACAAGAGAAATATTAGCTAATTTATATAGGTAAGTTAATAATAACGTGGATGAAATCTCATTTGGTTTATTTCCTTGTGTTCATAATAAGGTTTGCGATGAAGAAGCTACAGAGAGTTCGCTTAAGTTGGCGCTTAAACGTAAACTTGAGCGGATATTTTTTTATACAGGAGCTGGCGTATCGGCTATAAAAAATCACACAGAAGATAAAAAGGCTGAAAACTAACCCCGATAAAATGATATCCAGCTCTGGAAAGAAACGACCACGTGAGACTGCTGTCGAAAAGCTCGACGACTTTTTCGGAGTGGTCAGGAATTTGATAAATAGATTTTATCTCGAATTCAAACTCGTCTCCGCAATTAGAAAGCTTTTGCAAAAATTGCAGGAAGAATCGAATTTTCCTTTTGCAGGGAAACGCTTAGGGGGTTATCAAAGGGGGTTATTAAAATCAAATTAATTTTTTTGGCGTAAATGATAACAGATAAATATTAATGGAGCGGCCCATTATATTGCAGAGAGAGATATAAATATATACGCGAAATTCGAAAATATAGCCAAGTATTATCTATTTGGATGAAACATATGGGTAGACAATGACCTAACCTTTAAAAACTGCTGGCGGAGCGATACCATATCTGGTGTAATAGGCAATATTGGATCTACTGGTGAGTAAAATTATGTTTTGTTTGCGCTTCCAAAGTTAACTATTTTCAAGATTTTTTTTTGCTGGAAATAGTTATATCCAAAATTATGTATTATAGAAAAAAATATAGTTAGTACAGATATATAAATAAATATACCTCAAGACTCAGTCTTGATCATCTGCTGATGGCAGACAAGGTTAGCGAAACGTGCGTCCAGTGTAAAATTAAAAGTGTTTTGGTGTATTGTACTGATTTAGTGTTTTATTTTGCTGTGTAACACCAACGGTTCCAACCCCCAGCTGTAATTATTTCTTCTATTATATTAACAACACAATAATAAGATAATTCAAAATATTTAAGGGAGCTTTAATAAAAGCTTTTAGTGTTTATCTGCTAACTCAACAGTAACGATCCAAACAGCATAAAGTTTTTTGAAAAAAAATATTAATGTGAGTATTATATTTATGATACACATTATTTTCATATAACACCGTACGCCCATGCCTATTTTATGAATTAAATTGGAAGTGTTTTGTTTACAACTGCGTTCCCCTGCCGATACCCCGTAGCTACAGATCCGTTGGTCAAACTATATATTTTGCGATCAGATATTTAGAACCGATACAGGCCTGGGGAACACGATCTTAGCTTACGCGGATGATCTAGCCCTCTTAATAACTGCATCGACCTACACGATCCTCGAAGAAAAGATTCAGACGGCTGCGCTAGCGATTAAAAATTAGTTCGAAAGCATGGACGTCAAACTAGCCTCAGAAAAAAACTGAGCTGGTCATTCTCGTTGGACAACGCAAGGCAAAGGATCTAAGCATAAAGCTGGATAATTTGGTTATAAAACCTCAAAAGAAGGTTAAATACATGGGGGTTTGGTTCGACTCGGGCATGCGAATGACGTCACACGTCACAGAAATCAGGGATAAAACGACTGGCATCATCCAGCATCTGACGAGAATAACTCCCAATATCGGATGACCTCGCGCGGAAAAAAGAAGACTTCTCGCTTCGGTAGTTTATTCGGCCATACTCTACGCATCGCCGATCTAGGACAGATCCATGCGCTTCAAGCATTACGAAAACATGCTAGAAAGGATAAATAAGAAGTTAGCACTCAGGGTTGCATCAGCATACTGCACATGTCCAACAGTAGCGGTACTGTGTCTTGCTAAGATACCTCCAGCCAGTCTACTGATCCAGGAAAGAAATCAAATATATAAAAATGGAACTTCCTTCCGGAAAGAGGCCAGAAACATGGTACTAGAGCAATGGCAGACATGATGGGAAGCATATAGCGGATGGACAAAGACTTTCATACCCAATATTAAAGATTTGGATAAAATGTGACCAAGCAAACACGGACTACTACATCATGCAAGCCATGACTGGCCATGGATTATTTAGCGAGTATCTGCACAGGATCCGCAAGGCTGACTCTCCTGAATGCTGGTATTGCGAGGTGTCAGACACGGCTAACACTATTTGAGTGTCACGCGCACGAAGATTTACAGGAAAACGCAGAAACAGTATGTGGTACGAAGATTACTAGAGTAAACGTCAGAAACCGAAAAAAAAGCAATTTGCGGCATGTTAAGGAACATTATGAAGAAAAAGGCGAAGGACGAAAAAGACAAGATCTGGGTACAGACAAGACCAACATAGAAGAATGATAAGTCTCTAATCTTGATGAAATGCCTTCGGCGGTACCGAGATTGGCGACCTTAGAGCACAGATGGGTTTTTAGTGGGTAGACCTTCTCGCATGAGGGAAATCCCCACACTCCGGCCCTAAAGGCATTTCCCATCTATAAAAAAAAGTTTGCGCAAATTGTCTTATCTGGTCTAAACGGCCTATAATAATGTAGATTAAAAAAAATATGTTAATATAATAACATATACGAGCCCTAACAACTATATGTTGGGACAAGGTCATATTTTGGAATTATTGCCCTGATTTTTCAAAATAACTAAAAAATATATGTTTAATTTTTTAAATATAAACATAGCCATATATCCTAAACAACTTGACAATATTTTTATGAATTTGTAAATCAATCCATATTTACAGTAGCGGATTTTATTAATAAAAGGACAAATTTGCTGACAACTAAATGTTGGGACAAGTATTTTTAAATAATTAATATCATCATAGGCGGCTTTGCTATAAACGTCACAAATGTCGCAAACAGTTTACTTCAGCATTGACAGCTTGTAAGTGACTCTATACTTTGAGTAGTGAGGTTTACTGTAAGTAATTTTAATTTTTTTAATTTTCAATTTTGTTAATTTAATTTAAAATAATGGTCCGTGGAAAAACCACAAATCAAAAACTACGCGACATTTTAATTCTTCAATACAGTACGGGAAAAACAATTCGAAATATTTCTGATGATTTAAGTATTCCAAAAACCACGGTCTTTAATATATTAAAAAAATACTGCGATATCTGTCAATGTAGACGTTAGAGGTAAAAGTTCGGGAAAGCCAAAAGTTGTATCTCAGAGAGATTTACAAAATTTAGTAAAATATTGCAAGTCTGCGAGAAGAAGCACTCTTCGCGAAGTAACAGTTAAATGGAATACTGTAACTGTTTAAATATATCAAGAAAATGTTGCCGAAAATATATCCATAAATGCGGTCTGGGGTTGTGTAGATAATCAATTACCTGAAGATTATTGATACAAATTCTTATTTAGGCCAAAGAAAAACCGCTACTGACAGAAATTCAAAAGAAAAATCGCTACAATTGGGCAAAATCTAAATTATCGTGGACACAAAATGATTGGAGTAAGGTCATATTTAGCGATGAGTCTAAATTTGATGTTTGCGTTGGAGATTATCCAAAACGAAAAATACGAAATAAAGCAGAAGCCTTTCATAAAGATTGCTTAAAGAGGGTTGTTAAATTTCCTAAGGGGATTATGGTTCGGGGTTGCATGTCAGCAAGAGGTTTGGACAAATTAAATTTTATAGATGGCACTGTTAACGCCCAAAAATATCAACATATACTTGAGACCTCACTTTTGCCTAGTGCTCAAGAATTGTTTCCAAACGAATACTATATTTTCCAACAAGATGGAGCATCGTGCCATTCAGCAAAATCAACTAAATATTGGTTAGGTAATAATAATATAAAAGTCCCCCCCCCCTATCCAATCCTGCAAGTAGTCCGGACCTCAATGTTATAGAAACTGTGTGGCATAAAATGAAGCAATATTTAAGAAACCACCCTTAACGAACAATTTTTGATTTGCGGACAAAACTGCAGGAAATTTGGGATAATTTTTCTCCTCAAATGTGCCAATCTTTGGTAAATACAATGCCATTAAGAGTTCAGGCAGTTGTTAAGGCAAAAGGTGATTTAACTCCGTATTAAACAAATTTCTTGTTGTGCTGTCCCAATATATAGTTGTCAGCAAATTTGGCTTGATTTTGGCAAAATAAGCTATTATCAAAAGTGATTTGTTTGCAAAGTTATAGAAATATAGTAAAATTGTCTAGATCATATTGTAATGTTTGAATTTAGAATAATAAACAAAATAAATTGAGTCGTTTTAATAAATTACTATTTTTATTGCAAAAAAGACCTTGTCCCAACATATAGTTGTTAGGGCTCGTATGTATTGCCTCTAAAATTGAAGTGAAAAATCGGTGACAAAATTACGAATTAATTATTTGACATGTGTTAAAAGTTAAAGTAAAAAAGTAGCAGTGGCAACATTGCGACGTGCATTTTTCAAATATATCTTGATGACGTGCCCGCCAACTTTTATTGATTTTTCTATACGTACTCTGATCCAAATGGTTTCCAATTACTCGCGTCTTCTACAACGCCCACTGGTACTACTGTTTGTTGTAGTACTTCACTAGTGACAACACTAAGGGGAGTTTTTGATAAACTCTCGGCAGCTAGAGCTTCAAACTCTTTGTCCTCGTCGTCTTCAAATTCTTTGACGATATTTTTTGATTTATCTGAAGTATAACAATTCAGTTTAACATTTCAATTATATTAGCTTAACTTTTTATTCGTACCTTCTGCTGTGTCGAGTGGTTGAGGTGGAGGAATATAAAGTGTTTTACTTAAGTCGATTGGTTCGTCGGGCAATGGAATTTCATCATCATCAAGAAGAGTTTTGATTTGCTCTGGCGATTCTGTAACTATATCACTAGTTTTAGACTTGCCAAGTGCAAATTTTTTTGTGAAAAGACAGCTTTTTAAAGAGAAAATAATGTGATTTTTTTAAATACAGGGTGCTCCGAACTGTATTCCGGAAACTTCGGCAACATATTCTGCAGATAAAAATAAGTAAAAAAGTTCGTATAAATGTATGTCCTAAAATGCTTAGTTTCGGAGATACAGGGTGTAGAAGTTTCCATTTTATTCCGATTTTTTCCAAATTATTTATGAAGTAATGTCAATATTTGGATGAAAATTAGTGTCTGGGGGTTTGGTGACACGATAAATTTGATTTTGATGTCAAAATGACTCCTATTTGTAGAGGGCGCCACCTACATGTGTTGTAACTGTTTTGAAGAGTTATAACTTTTCGTCCGTACCTGTATAAAACTATTGACTAATAAAATATACATTTCCATGACTTTCTACGTAAAAAATGTCTCTTAGTAAAAATCGCCATGAGCAACCGTTCTCAAGATATTTAAAATGGAAATAGTTAATACATGTCATTATTGACAAAAAATAAGCACATTTTGAATAGAGTTATTTGACTGAAATAATAAATTTTTATTTTTTTAAATTAATCATAAATTTTTCTGCGTAAAAAATTAATTTATTAAATTAAACAGCAACAACAACGATTAAACAGTTTCTGTTGAACTTTTGGCACAAAAAGACTTCAAATTTAAGATTTTAGTCCAATAACTATTTAGTCAACATGTTTAATTTGTCAATGATGACAGGTATTGATAATTTCAATTTCAAATATTTCGAGAACCATTACTCGTAGAGATTTTTACTAAGAGACCTTTTTTACGTAGAAAAAGTCGTAAATGTATATTTTTTTACTTAGTAGTTTTATACAGGTACGGACGAAAAGTTATTACTCTTCAAACCAGTTAAAGCATATGTAGGTGGCGCCCTCTACAAGTAGAGGGTAGTAGAAAGTCATATTGACATGAAAATCAAATTTCTCATGTCAAAAAACTCCCAGACACCAATTTTCATCCAAATATTGACGTTACTTCAGAAATTATTTGGAAAAAATCTCGAAATAAAAATGAAACTTCTACACCCTGTATCTCCAAAACTAAGCATTTTAGGACAAACATTTATACAAACTTTTTTACTTGTTTTAGTCTGCAGAATATGCTGCCGAAGTTTCCGGAATACAATTCGGATCACCAAGTATATCTTTTGTTATGTATTAATTGGTACATTAGAAACATTGAAAAAGTTGATGAAAAAATATCGGTTTCTATTTCCGTGTACTTTCCGGTTTCTCCGTTTATGAGTGAAAAACTCTACGACACTCACCTTTTCAACAAATGATAATATAACCAAGATACGAAGGAGATCAAAAAATGCAACAATTTCGAATTCATCCTTTATTTCAGGAACTAAGGGAGGTTAGGATAAATCTGTTTGTAGCTTTGAACTCTGCTTTGAATAAGAAGACTAAGGAAGGAGCATAATGCTATCCATGTATTCATGCATGGTGGGCCGAAAAAGCACTCTAGGCTGGGGATCCTTGACAGTTCTGTTTGACGATTTATTTGACACATTTGAATTTGATTTGAAATTTTATGGATTTGTCAGTCTTTACGGAGCTTATTTTATGTTATTTATTATTTATTCTACTACTGATAGTTGTATAAAGGTAGTAAATCTAGATGGAAATTGTGGCAGAACTTAAATTAACAGTGACACTATCGCGATTTATCGAAAAAGACTCTAAAATAGTTGGTTGTGTAGCGTGTGGTAGATCTCGGCAAAAATCGAGTGAAATAATGGAACAATTTTTCGCTAGTAAGTGACTATATAATATACATACGTGTAGTAAACCGATCATTTATGAAATTCACTTAAATTAACTAAATTATATATTTTTCTTGCATTTTAGCTTTTATTTATTACTCGTTAAGATTAGATGTCAAAGAATTTAGATACCTTAATTTAACTTACCTGCTTCAGTAGCGTATCGGATGTTTGTGTTAATAACTGTGTTAATAAATACTTATTATAACTTATCTATTTTTATTAGAATTATATATTTTTATAACAATTTTAATAACTAACAACATTTATTCACACCGTAAAATAAAACAACAAATTATTGAGTCTACCCCACGTCTACCCTACATCATAGTTTTACATTTTTTAAATAAAATTAGAACGGCACTGATAAACCGGAATTTAAGTCGGCCATATTTGAGGCTCATCGCGGTGGACATAAGATTTTTGATATGCTCCTTCCTTGTTTGTAGCATCTTTAATTTCATAAAAATGTAGCATGAAGTCATATAAAAACCGCATCTTTTAATCACTATATTTTTATACTCAAAAACAAGATACCCATAAAACACTCGAAAATAGAACACCATGTAGATTACCTGCGGTACTATTTGTAGGAGGTACGTTTTCGCTGTTGTCAAAACTGCCTAATAGCAAGTCTCTTTGCTTCAATATCTGTCTTCTAGACGATACGGGTTTAGTAGCACAAGTGGGTAGTTGTACTCGTCCAGTAAGTACTTCTACAGCAGCACCCAAAGGTACTAATTTCTTGCCTTTTCGCTCTACAGCCGGTCCTTAAAAAAATTAAAATGGATTTTTACTTTATTAAATAAAGTAATAAATCACCCATTTTAATTACAAAAATCAATAAAGCGATGAATTCTAAGCAAAAAATGTTCTATAACATTTTTTCAGAAAATTAATATTTTCCTAGTTATTTAGGATTGAAAATGTTGATTTTTCATTGCAAAACTGCATATTTTTTGCCAATTTTTATAAATAACTCGAAAACCTTGCGTTTTGTCGCAAAACTCATATAAAGGAAAAATGAAGCTTTTGGAATAACTAAACGATCCATTTTTGTTTTTTGTTGATTATCGTAGGTGTAATAATAGCCGAGTTATCATTCTGTAAACGTGATTTTTTATTTTTCGAAAACTAAATTGCAACATTTTACCGTAAAATAATGGCGATAGAACACATTTTTCGAAGAAAATGAATATGGCCACATTAGACCACAAAAGATCGCAGTGGATCAGACCGATAGCCACCTCGAAGAATCTAATCTAATCTCTAGCTAAAACATCCAAGTATTGTTTTACCTAAGATAGCTCTCTCGGCTATAGATGTGTCGAAAGGATCGTCTCCTTCTTGTTTTTCTGTTGGCGACTCTGGAATGTATGCTAGCTTTACTTCTCCAGCTGCAATAGCGTCAATGTAGGTCGTGTCAAAAATATCATCATCTTCTTCTGCAAGAAAGGTCATACGTTAGTAAACACCAACGGTTATAATAGCGATGTAACGAATATCAATCTTTGAACATTCTCGAATGTGAATGCTAATGCTACTATTCTTTACATCAGTGGTATATAATATCCAGGGGTGGATGGGCCATATGGGAAAACGGGAAAATTCCCGGTGGGCCGCACGGTGGAAAAATGGGCCGGTGGGCCGGTCCCGATCAGAGCTCAAAAAAGATTGGATTAACAAAAATTAAATGGTTAATCTTCTAACTAAAGTGACGTAAGATGCTTAGTGACTCCATAACTAACTAATCAATTTCCATCAGTATAATCGTCAGTTGCTTTTAAATATAAACACCAATTTGTAAAATAACTATTGTAAAATGTCTTTCTCTGGGACACTTATAATTTTAATAATAATCTGTTGGTTGTTCGGTTTGAAAATTTTTGTTATACAAGGTGAGTCTAAAAGGGCAAATATTTTCAAGGCTGGTCGATCTCAATAAAATAAACATAATATATTCTCTTTATCGAGTTTCAAATAAGTCCAATCGAGTTATTGAAGTTTAAAAATTTAAAAAAAATATATATTTATTTTTTAAAAAAATTGAACCACCTTAATTTTTCGGTATTTGTATCTTTTTTAGTCCCGTAATATCAGAGACTTGCAGCAAAAAAAAGAATGAATAGCATTAGGTAAATTTAAATAGTCTCGATCTAAATGTATACTAAGAATACGGTAGCGTAGATTGACAACTGGGGGCCTCGGTGCAATATTTTTCGAGCCCCCCTTGAAGGTAGACGAATTTGACGCGAACTCTGCGGTTGACGGAGAAAACATATCTATGCTTGGCTTGAATTGGGGACAGACTAAAAGCCAAGTCTGAGAACTTAAAGCCAAGTCTAAATTATTGTTGTTTAAAATGTTGCTAAAATGAATTTGCTAAAAATTACTGAGACAGCAGAGAAGAGTTAAATAAGGTTTAAACTAGATTAGATAATAAAATATTAATATGTATCGAAAATCCAAATATTCTTATTATGGACTGTAACATAGCATTACATCAGAACAGATTTATATCCACTCCCTAGGCATTGCCTAGGTTTTTTTCGTTTGGGTCATGGCATTATCATATAAGATGCCAAATGTAGAATAGAGGAAAAGTTTCGTGATAAGAACTATATAATAACCTAAAAAATGCTGCAGTTTTAATGGCGACCGCGGTTCATTCAGTTAAAAACACGTGTACACGAGGAGGCTGCTGCTGTAGCTAAAAAGAGAGAATTTCTTTCTACAATGTGTAAGAAAGTATATACCCGAAAAGCTAAAAGTAATGTATTTCACAGAGGATTGGGTCAGCTGAACTGAATAAATCAGGGAGTCTTAAAGTTTCTCAAAATCGTGACTCAAAATCGTAGCCGATTCAAGATCAAATTACCGTTATCGATAATGCAAATAAAGCAGTAGAACCCTGTAAAACTGAGCCATTTTGTAGTAAAAATTCAGATGTCCGACCCAATATTGGTCTTTATGAAAATTTTGATGAAAAAGACAATTTAATTTAAAAAAAACGGAGGCAAAAGATCTTATTCGCACGAGCGAAAAACACCCTTACTTATATATTAATAAATAAAATATGTTTCTTCGTTATGGTCATTTTGTTTTTGTGGATATGGGCCGGTTTCCACATCCCCGTCCATCCCTGATAATATCTAATAAATACATACATTTTATAAGAATAAGTATTTGTTAAATTTGATTTATTGCAATTTTCTAACTGTTTACCTTCTTCAGATTCTGATTCAGATACAGGGACGATACCCAATTGAGAAGGGTCTTCTTGTTTGAGTACCGGATCTTCTTTTTTATTCTCAACTATTGTTTGGGAAGGTTCTGGTTTCTTCTCTTTCTCTGTTTTGCTTGATGGTGGAATACGTTGAAAGAAGGACGTACTCTAGAAGTATCCCGATATTAATTGTATAATGTAATAATTATATACCGATGCTAACGTTCCAAAATCAATGTCGTATTGCTCTTATTCGATTTCATATTAATGGAATTTTCCATAATTTCATGTCTAAAACTTATGTCTTACTAGTGATGAGCGAAAATAGTCTTGGTCTTGCACAAGAAGCAAGAAAATGACCAAGACTGACCAGTTCAAGATATCCGCAAGACCAAGGCCAAAACCTCAGGTTGCAGTGTTTCCGGCAGAGGATGGCCCCTTATTAAAAAAAAAAGGCCAAGACCAAACATGCAAGGCTTTTGCGATCTTTCGATCTTGCATTTTTTTTCACGTGTATATGATATAACAAATTACTTAGTTGCTCAAAATTATTGTTTTAATATTTTACCAGTAGTTTTTTCCTGAATACTGCATAAAATGTTAGAAAACCAAATGCTGATTCAATATAATATATTAAAAAATAAAAATTATTGTCACACAAATATTCTAATAACTTCTTTTTTACCGTTTTATTTGCATCAAATTACTAAAAATACTATAAAGACTTCTATGTAGAAAGTGCCTCTAGTAAAATTCTGTTTAAAAACTTGCAAGAGTCTTGCAGCAAGACCAAAACTAAGACTGAACTATCCAAGACCAATACTACTTTTTAACTAAGAGACCAAGACCAAGGGAGTCTTAGTCTTGGCATTGCTTTTGCTTTTGCTCATCACTATCTATTAGACTGGACACAGAGAATAGAATTTTGGTAAGATCTTACCAAAAAATTATTAATATATTTTGCAATACACAATTGGTTTAAGAATCGTCGGAGGTCATTACGTAATAAAAAATCCAGGACTGTATTTGAAAAAAAATTGATGACAGATCAAAGAAGAATTGGTTTAAAAATGTAATTGTAGAACAAAATAAGTAAACAGTGAGATTGTGCAATTTATTTTGTCGTCACAAAAGTATTAATTTTTGCGACGTGATTGTCAATATAAAAAAGGCATTTTAACCAAATTTTAACGCCTAGGCATAAAAGTAAAGCACTTACGCCTAAGATGCGCCTAAGCACAAAAGTACGAAAATATATTATTAAACTGTTATAAAGTGTCAAATTCAACGAGCCGTAACCATAGTTTCTCGGTATACCGGGTGTTGCATCGTCGGACGGGACATAGGAAATCCCATGTAAATTTTAATGGGGTCAATTGTTAGCTTCCGTAATTATTTTAGAGAATAATTCTATTTAGGTTTATTGAAGAGCGCTAAAACCCACATTCAAAAGAATAACTTTAGATATTTTTGATTAGCTCGTTTACGAGTTATCGCCGATATCTTTTTAAATATTTCTCCTTTCTTATGGCCCTGTATTTACTTATGATTATGATTAAAAATAACTAACGTTGGAAAACTCGACGAGGGTATAAAAGATCGAATAATGCAAGGCAGAAGGGCAGTATCTATGTTGAATGGTGTACTGTGGGATCAAGGAATCTCTAAAGCTAATAAGAAGAACATATATAATACGGTAGTGAAAAGCATAATAACTTACGGAAGCGAAGTATGGCAATTGAAAAGCAGAACAGAGAACATGCTATTAGCGACCGAAATGGATTACTGGAGGAGATCTGCTGGAAAATCGAAAAGAGAACAAATAACCAACAACAGAGTAAGTAACACTCAGGCAACTAGTTGAAATATCCTTAGAATATAATTCCCCAGCCTATCTATGTTTTATAGATCTAACAAAGGCCTTTGATAGAGTCCAACTAAAAGACATCATCACCATCTTGGAAAGCAGTAATGTCTCGAAAGAACTCACAGAACTTATCAAGGACTTAAACACAAACACAACAACCCAAATAAGAACAAATTTTACCTTAACGCAGCATCTTCGAACTACAACTGATATTCGCCAAGGCGACAGCCTCAGCCCTCTGTTATTCAGCACAATCATGGATTAAAAAAAAAGTAATAAAAACCGTCAAGAATACTGGATTAGGATATCGAATGGGAATGCATAAAGTAAACATATTATGCTATGCCGATGACGCAGTACTTATTGCAGAGTCAGAGGACGACCTCCAAAGAATGCTACAAGCTTTTAACAGACAGGCAGAACAACTTAACATGCAAATTTCCACAAATAAGACCAAATGCATGACCATTACAAAGGAGCCTCTACGGTGCAAATTGGTAATAAAAAACAAAACTGTTGATCAGATAATGTCATTCGAGTACCTCGGATGCAAAATTAAAAGCTCAGGATTCCAGGAAGAAGAAGTAAGGAAACAAACCAATAAAGCTGCCGCAATATCAGGACATCTTAAATATCCCATATGGAAAAACAAACATTTGAGTACAGAATGTAAGTCAAGAATATACAAAACCTGCATACGACCAGTGATGACATATGGTGCGGAAACCAGAGCTGAAACATCAGTAACAAAGAGGAGGGAGGGTGTGGATAAAGAACTAGAAAATAGAGAAATACCTGATGATCTCTGGCTAAATAGACAAGAGTGGAGGTTAGGTGTCGGAAAACGTCGTAGAACGTTCTATATATATATATATATATATATATATATATATATATATATATATATATATATATATATATATTTACTTATGAGCACCAGTCAAGGTAAAAGATAACTGTCAAATGAAGTTAAATGAAGTAAGTTAAACTCATTCCTACATCGGAAATCTTAAAGATGTATTTATAAATACAAATTAATATGAATTAAAGTAAAATAAAGTAATCAATTACAAGGTTAATTATAGTATTATTACAATATTCAATAACTTATTAATTTAGGTACTGTTAAATTATTAGAACTTTAGGATTTAAGAAGATGTTCAAATATTCCTCCATCGACTGCTAGACAATAACCCCGGCGATCATAAAATTCTCTTCTTAAATTCGTTAGTTGAAATTCTATTGCATTCGGCAGAAATAGCATTTTTTAATTCGTCTAGATTTGGATATTTTTTATCCTTGTATATCCTGTTTTTTAAATGGCCCCAGAGAAAGAAATCATTTGGCGAAATATCAGGAGACCTTGCTGGCCAATTTACTGTATGATTTAGGCCAATAACGTTTCCGTTAAAACTATTGTCTAAATATTCCCGAACACAGCCAGGGTACTATCCATCCAGTTGGTACCTACAGATTTTCCCCAGCGGTATCATGTAAAGCTGGTAAAATATGATTTTCGAGTAGTTCCAAATAATATTCTGCATTTAAATTTCGCGTAAGAAATAATGGCCCGATAATATTGTGTCCGAATATCCCTGCCCAAACATTTACTTTCTGTGGATATTGCGTCCTTGTTTTGACAAACCTATGTTGGTTTTCTTTGGTCCAATATCGATAATTTTGAACATTGGGTTCATTATTTAAGGTAAACGTGCATTCGTCAGTGAAACATATGTTTTTTAAAAATTCCCTATCCGTGTTTGCTCTTTCCATCATATCAAAACAAAACGCCTGCCGCCGTATTTCGTCCCCATCTCGTAGCTCTTGGTGCTTTTCATATTTGAAGGAATAGTATCCCTGCAGTACACGCGGCGGTTCTATTAGATACCACCCTCAATGTTTGTTTATTTTATCTGGAACGAACAAAAGCAGAGCCAAGTCCCCTGAGCTATCTTCCCAGAAGAAGTGGCTACAGCTATCAGTATAGTATTGACCGTTGTGGTGTATACATGTTTGCAAATATTAATACAAATTATCTAAGGGATACCCGCGTGTTGCCAGGTAATTTTTCATAAAATCAATCGTTACGTTCTATAATGCAGTTGATCAAATGTGTTCTCTCTATAATGTGGCTAGGATTACTAAAAGATGGCCAATGGTCTTCAGTATTTTGAATATTGCCGGTATAAATAGTCAAATTATTAATACTGGAAATAAAAATAAAGTTGAAAGCCGTCGAGCTTTTTTGCGTACACTCTCCAATGAGTTATTATCTGAACACCTTTAACGCAGACAGGCAAATAGAACAGGACTACTAGGTCCTATTACAGATGGAATAAGCAGAATATTTCCACTTCAAGAATGCTCTAATGCCGGGACAAACACTGATGAAAATTATGTGATCATTGCAAAACAATCAAAAAGAAAAGACTCATAAAATGTTCCTGTCATTTCTGTAATTAAAGATTATGTTTAGAACATTCTAATACTATTTGTCAAACTGATTGGTATAAACATAATTTTGAAAGTGATTGTGATAGTTAATTATGTGAACATATAAACGATTTGAAAAATTTTATAAACATTATATACTTACATCTGAACTTAAGAATAGTGATGTTTCGTTAGAATATTCTTTACTTTTTTTCACTTACTCAATAAAATTTACAATATCAAATGATGTTTCATTTTACAGTCACTCAATTTTTAATTTACAAACAATAAGTATCTCTCAGATAACCGCGTTTACCTTCGACACTTTTTAGCTCGCGTGTACTGCAGGGGTATTTATGTCATTATGATTATTGTTAGTTCCCAGTAGTTAATATGCAGATAAAAAAAATCGTGGGTGTTTGGGAAGGCTTGAAAGGAAACAATGTTTTTGCGACGTTTCGCGACTTTATTGTCGCTTCTTCAGGCACTATAGGAGAAGCAGTTTTTTAAAAAATATCAAAATAAGATTAACTGACCACTTACCCAAAACATATATTAATCCACATTATGCCTACAAACATTCATGGCGACTATTTGTCGCGAGTCGAGTATTTATGTCTTTTCAAAATTCGAAACGCTGTAGTGTGATCTATTCTTAGTTCATCCTCAAGTTTCCTTGTGCTGATCTTTCCATGGTTCTCTTCCACGCACAATAAAACTTCCAAGTCGTTATCATTTCTTGCATCTTCTCTTTGTTCCTGCCTTGCTTCACATCTGCAGTTATTTATTAGGGTACCTTTGGTCTCAAATCTCTGGATATTCCTTGCGATTGTAGATTTTCCAGCTATCGGTTTATTCGGATAAAGAGCAGCAAACATGTCCGACACCTTTTGATAACTATTTCCTTGATAATACCATTTATTCATCAATACTTTTTCTTCGGTAGTGTAATTCATGGCTAATATTTTCAATGTAGGTATGAGTTTTTAATAATAATAAAAAAGCACTAAATAGATAAATTTCTGAAATGACAACTACATTTGACAGTTATCTTTTACCTTGACTGGTGCCATACTGGTGCTCATAAGTAAATACAGGGCCATAAGAAAGGAGAAATATTTAAAAAGAAATCGGCAATAACTCGTAGACGGGCTAATCAAAAATATCTAAAGTTATTCTTTTGAATGTGGGTTTTAGTGCCCTTCAATAAACCTAAATAGAATTATTCTCTAAAATAATTAGGGAAGTCAATAATTGACCCCATTAAAATTTACATGGGATTTCCTATGTCCCGCTCGACGATGCAGGGTGTATTCCGTTGCTTACCTTGGTTATGGTTTTATGTTCCGTTTCTATCGGTTTACTGAAAGTTTTCTTATTACGGAACACGGTTCCTGAAAAATTCGGTTCTAACTGTCACCAAACTAACCAGCGCGAGAAAGCTGGTTTTTCTGGTTTTGTTTGTCAATCAATGTCATTTATGTGACAGAAATCAAGCGAATATTGGAAGTTCGAGTAAAATTCTCATTTAATTTCTAAAATTCGTAATAATATTTTGTATTTTGCATCCAAAAGCAATGGTGGTAGGTAGGTAGTAAAGGTAAATAAATTTCATTAACTAAATAAAACTACTTTTTAGGACCATTTAAACTTATCATGCAGCCATTATTTCTTAAAGTCAGGAACTTTTAAAGAAAACACGAAAAACAAGACAACAAGTAATCGTGAATGTTTTGTAAGCTGTAAAAATATAAATATTGATTAGATTTGTTTATTTATTATTGATGTGTTTTAATATTGGACCAACAAATCTTCACTTGAGCTGTCTAACGAGTTTAACAGTTTATTAAAAAAGTACTTTTCAATATTAAACTCCATTGAAATGAAGAAGCAAACGTAAAAGCAGAGAATAGGTACATTAAAAATGCATAAAGCTACATGCACACTGGTGCGATCACGGTCGCGATCACGATCACGATCAGGGCAGCAATAATATGAGCGATCATTCTAGCACACACCAACGCGTTCACGTTCACCGCCGCACCTATATGTAGTGAGCTATCCTGTAGGAATGATCGCTAATGTTATCGCTGCCCTGATCGTGATCGTGATCGCGGCCGTGATTGCGCCAGTGTGCGTACAGCTTTAAAGATAAATTTTATAACAGAGCGTATATGACAGAGCTATTGAAATTTAGAAAACGTCAACATTTGACGTTTCCAGTATTTTAACAAACCGTTCCGTATCAAACCGATGTTTTTCAGGAACCGCTCTTTACCGTAGTTTACCGGTCTGGTTTGCCTGGTTTTGCAACGGAATACAGCCAATCTTTTTATATTAGCTTTATTCGAGTTCCCAAAAAGCACGGTTCTAGAACGGTTCAAAACACTGGCACAATATGATTTTTTGCAACTTTTGACATGAATGATTGTCGTAATTTAATAGTAGATTATTTTCTTTTATCTATGGTCGTAATTAGACTGTGCGATTGTTTTAAACCGTTCTAGAACCGTACTTTTTTGGAACTCGAATTAAGCTAATATTTGGAACGTTTGAAATTGTTTAAAAACTTATTTGTGGCGTTTAAAAAAATGGCATGTTCTATTCGGAGTAAAAATGACTTTTTGTGCCTGGGATGTATGTCAAACGTACATTCTCGTCCCGAAAAGTGTCATTTTTACTCATAAAAACAATATACTATTTTGTGCCTCGCTTTAATGTCGGACTCACTAACGCGTACAGCCTCGTCACAAAAAGAATCATTTTTATTTCTAATAAAACAATATACTATTTTTATATACACACACCGGAAAAGTCTAGGGATATTACAATTTTATCCAGCCATCGTCAGTAATTTTATTATTTGCATTTCTGATATAATAACATTAAAATAAACATTATAATAGTTTACTAAACAGAGTTATTTGGAAATAAAAATACGAAATTTACCGAATTTTTAAAAATTTACCTTGATTTTTATTGAACTCAAAAAAATACACACATTTTTTTTTAATTCTAAACTGTGAATTAAAAAAAAGATAAAACCATTTTTACTTAATAAAGGGTATGGCCTCCTCTACTGTTCATTACAGCCCGTCTCTTCATGATCAGGTTGTCGATCTCTTCTTGAGGTACAGCCTGCCACACTGCATTCACGGCCCGAACCAGATCCCTACGAGTTTCACGAAGCATACCCATTCTCAAAATTCTTCTTTGGACCGCGTCCCATACGTGCTCGATGGGGTTGAGGTCAGGAAATTATGCCGGCCAGGGTAAGATGTTTAATTGATGAGCATTGATAAACTCACTTACCACTCTGGCTGTATGAGGCCGTGCATTGTCATGCATGAGAATGAAGTTTCTCCCAAAATCATTGGCATATGGTAACACGACAGGCTCAAGAATTAAATCACGATATGTGATTCCTGTTAGAAACCTTTCAAGAAAAACGAGATCGGTTTTTCGGCCTAACTGGACTCCTCCCCAGACCATAACTGTTCCACCTTGATAAGGGTGCACTTCCTGAACATGATCTAACCGAACAAGATTTCCCGGTTCTCTCCATACCTTAAGCCTTCTCGAATCGGGATGAATTCCAAAGCGTGACTCATCCGTAAAAAGCCCGTTGACCCATTGTTCATTCGACCACTGAACATGATCTTGAGTCCACAAATATCGTACCTCTCGATTTCCTCTCGTTAAGGGTTGAGCTCTCCAGGGGCGTCTGCTTCTTAAGTTGACCTCTCTTAATCTATTGCGAACAGTGTCAGGACTAACAGTTACATTATGTGTTTCCTGGAGAATTAAACTAAGCTCTGGTGCTGTAAGAGTCGGTCGGCGTCGAGCATTAAATTGTAAAAAATGATCTTGCTGAGGGGTAGTAATGCGATGTCGCCCTGTGTGCCTTTCAGCAACATCACCACTTTCACGGTAGCGTGCACTTAATCGCGATATTACACTTTGCGTTGTATTTAATGCTCTAGCTACGTCGATTTGGCGCATTCCAGCTTCGAGCATACCCATGGCCCTTAGCATTTCGTCTCTGTTAAGATGTCTACGCTCCATAATGTCGTTTAATACTAAACAGAGTTATTTGAATGAATTCTGGCCAGTTATCATAAAAACATAGCCAGTACAGGTTAAATTCGAACAATTGATGCTAGGTGCTTTTTATACATTTGAAAAAAAATGCACAAACACTTCTGCAAATATCCCAAATTTAGAAATAACTAGTATGACTACTTCGTTTCAATCGAAGTAGAAAGAATCGGCCTACAAATATATGTGGTTGTTTATTCAAAACATTTATTTTTAACTTTAATAAAATGATATCCCTAGATTTTTCCGGTGCGTGTATGTTCAAATGCAGTCATAAAAAATAAAAATAAAATTGATAATATTCGTTTTTTTTGTTTGGGACACAAAATTGTAAAATAATAAATACCTTTATTCGATCTAGATCGTCTTGGGTTTTCTTTAAAATGTCATCGACTCCCGAAGTTAGCGATAGGAAATTTTTCCACTCTTCGTTTTTAGCCGATCCTTCTTCTCCTGTAGCGGCGTGTTCTCTATAAAGAAAAAACGTGTTTCCTTTGTTGAAATCGTATTTTACAACATATGGCACTTGACTTCATACCTTCTGTAAGCTTCAAGCTCTTCCGGTTTGAAGAGCTCCTCCTCCTTGTGTTTGGACTTTTTCCCTTTTTTCTTCTTTTTCAAGCCCTTTGCGATTTTGTGCATTATCTATTCTACTGGGGGCATTGAGGCTTCTAAAATATAGTTTTCTATCAATTAATTAATTTGTAACAAATATTTTACTAAATACTAGCTGATCCGGCTAACTTTGTACCACCTTACAGTGAAGTTACGTGAAGTGAGAGTTTTTTTGTCAACCTTGTGGTACGGGTTACTAATTAACAAAATTATCTGGAATTATTGAGGCCAGAACTTTTACTAGTATCCAAAAATCAATTAATATACAGTGTGGTCCAAACTGTATTCTGGAAACTTCGGCAACATATTTTGCAGATAAAAATAATTAAAAAAGTTCGTATAAAAATATGTCCTAAAATGGTTAGTTTCAGAGATACAGGGTGTAGAAGTTTAATTTTTATTTCAATTTTTTCCAAATAATTTATGAAGTAACGTCAATATTCGAATGAAAATTGGTGTCTGGAACTTTTTTGTTATGAGCAATTTGATTTTGATGTCAATATGACTCCTACTTGTAGAGGGCGCCACCTACATGTGTTTTAACTGTTTTGAACCATAATAGCTTTTTGTGTGTACCTGTATAAAACTTCCGAGAGAAAAAATATACCTACATCTCTGTGACTTTTTACGTAAAAAATATCTCTTTGTAAAAATCGCTACGAGCAACCGTTCTCAAGATATTTAGAATGGAAATAGTCAATACATGTCATTATTGACGAAAAATAAACACGTTGAGTAGATAGTTTACTCACCGAAAATAATAAATTTGGGAAATTTTTATTTATTTAAGTTAATCATAATTTTATGGCAAAAAAATGATGATAAAACAGTTTCTGTTGAACTTTTGGTAGAAAAACTTTCAAATTTATGATCTCAGTCTAATAACTATCTAGTCAACATGTTTAATTTATGTCAATGATGACAGGTATTGATAATTTCGATTCCAAATATCTCGAAAACCAATACTCGTAGCAATTGGTTTACCTAACCTAACATTTTTACGTAAAAAACATCGTAAATATATATTTTTTTACTCAGTAGTTTTATACAGGTACGGACAAAAAGTTATTACTCTTCAAACCAGGTAAAAAATATGTAGGTGGCGCCCTCTACTAGTAGGAGTCATATTGACATCGAAATCAAATTGCTCATGTCAAAAAAGTTCCAGACACCAATTTTCATTCATATTTGGAAAAAATCGAAATAAAAATAAAACTTCTACATCCTGTGTATCCGAAACTAAGCATTTTAGGACATACATTTATACAAACTTTTTTACTTATTTTTATCTGCAGAATATGCTGCCGAAGTTTCCGGAATACAGTTCGGACCACCCTGTATAAGGTATTCCGTTACAAAAAACATAACTTTGATGTGTAACTTTTTTGGGGGACACCCTGTAGAACTCTGCATAATTTTAGAAAATGATTTAAACTGACTTACATTAGCTCACAAAATTTCACTTCAATACAAACTTTTGTTCTCCTTGCAAAAACCGCGTCGTATATGAGGGGCCACCCTGTATAATTCGATTTCAATCAAAATTTCAATGATTAGAATATAAGCAGAATAGGTATAGCTTATGCGTTAGATTTATTTATTTCAATAAATTTACTTAGAAAAAGAATGAAAAAAATGAAAAAATTAAGAAGGAAATAATTAATTAAGAATTTACTAAAATAAAAAATTAAAAGCAACAAAAAAAATGGGTAAACAATTTAATACTTTATCTATAAAACACAATACGGAAGGATTCACATTAATACATTCAAAGTAATTGAATTCCGAGGTAAAAGTCTCTGGGCACTCCACTAAGAAACAAAAATTAAGCCAGTTAAATTTTAGCTACTTGATTTAATAGCTTGCTTTAGCTACTTGATACGTGTAACTGCAGCTTATTTGTGTCATTCAAGCAGCACAACTTAAAGTGCACATTATTGATTTTTATTACGAAGTTTAGGATAGATATAATAACACTATACATATATTATTAATTAGATTTTCTTATTTTTACAAAGTTTTAAATTTTACTGCACCGTTTTTTGAACTGATATACGTTAAACATCATATCAACTAATTGCCCCAAAGAGACCCATGCTAACGCTCAAGAAACATCTCCTTTATATTTTTTTTTTAAACACGTATTATAGTATTTTTATTTTTTATATTTTTCCTTCTATTTTATATTGTGATTATAGATCTCTAAATTTGTGGTCAGATCAAAATTTAATAATTATTGATTAGGCCATGTTGTAATACAGAAAAAACTAAACTAATATTCCAGGATGCAAACAGGAACAGATTCTACAGTACTGTTTAAACTTTTAATAAGAAAACTTCTATTATTAAGCCTCGTTTGCTTTTGAAAAATCGATAACAAGGAGATTAGAGTTCGCAGACATCATTAATGATATTTGTCTGGATATTTTGCAAATAACAGTTATAATATTTTATATGATAATATTTCAAGAATGGAGGCTCCCGACGAAACGCCACAGCATTCTACGCGAAAAACTCACAGGACACAGTTTTTACTTTTTCGAGTTATAATATAACCGAGATATAAAGAGAGTTGAAAACTGCAATAGTCTCAAAATCGCTCTATATTTCACAAACTAAAAAGTCTAGGACAAATCTGTGGGTAGTATCTTTGGTTTCATAAAAAAATAGTACTGTGATGTTAACATCGCATCTTTGTATCTGTACTACTCATAAAAGAAAAAACTCCATAAAACATACGAAAATGGGACACCCTGTACAGACAGATATAAATTTAAACGAAAAGTATATCGTCATATTATGTATATTTATTCTTACTTCACAAAATATCATACAAAAAGATTTTTATTTCAAAATATTACGCTTTACTAATAAACGAAATTTATATAAAATAAAACATCCCTTACCGACCTGACCTGCTTAACAATCACCTCACAATCGCATCACATCACAATACATTTCAATATCACACTACGCGCACCTTTTTAACTATTCTTCCATTAAATCAATTTCCATTACAACCAAAAACACTAATTGATTATATCATCCAAAAAAAGGCAACATCCTTCTAATACTTTACGTCATAACATATAACATCAGCTAGAACAACGAATCCCTACGGACCTTTTCATAATGAAAAATAGAAAAACGAGCGTAGCGGCGCTAGTGCGACGTTGCCACACTTCCGACGTCCTTATCGATGCCAGGCGTCGGTCTTTATTGATTTTTCATAGCCACCGCTGACGATGACAGGCAGGATATTATTACGAGTATATTCATCGCATTTTTTTGCATTTTGTTTTACTTAATTATGAACTATTTATATTTAAAAATTATTATAGAATTGGTTAGTTTCATTTTTAATAGAGATTTTAAATAATCCAAATTTACAAAAAAACTAGATACTTTATTATTGTTTAAAAGAGATTTTCTTTGTAGATAAATACAGATCTCGACATAATATATGTAAATTTGATTCACGGTATACTTTAGTTTTCTTTTCTTGTTCCTTGGATCTTTTTTTTCTTATTTTAAGTTCGAGTTACTATATTTTTATACTACCAAATATTTTATTACAATTTTACTAAATAACATTTTTATATACATATATTTAATATAATATAACACTAAAATAAGAATAATTATTATTGTACTTACTGTTTTAGCCTCATAGCAAATTCACATTGGCACTTTTCTATGATGGAAATCTTGAAAAAACCTTGTCAAAAGTTTGTTTTAGTTTAAACGCACTGTTATACATTTATGGCAATTGTTGGGTAAATAAAATTCATGGTTTTTATTGTCGATTTTTGCGATTTTCGTCAAACCAACTTGAGAAATGGCGGATCGCCTAAAGGTTTGATTTCGGAGCTTATCGATTTTGCGCACCGAGTATGATTCTCCGGCACTGCGAGTCGATTTTCGTCAACATTTTCGAATGACATTTATCGTGCAGATATCTGTTTTCAAATTTAATTAATTCTACCATTTTTAAAGATATTAAATTCTAGATGATGATTGCGATTTAGTTGCAAAAACGTTACAGCAGTTACAAAAAATGCTGAACTGATAAAACCAGGGGATGGGTCATATGGGAAAACGGGAAAATTCCCGGTGGGCCGGTGGGCCGGTCCCGATTAGAGCTCAAAAAAAGATTGATTTAGCAAAAATTAAATGGTTAATCTTCTAACTAAAGTTACGTAAGATTTTTAGTGACTGCCTAACTAATCAATTTGCATCAATATAATAGTAAGTTGCTTTTAAACATAAACACCAATTTGTAAAATAACTATTGTTAGATGTCTTTCTCTGAGGCATTTATCATTTTAATAAAAATCTGTTGTTTGTTGTTCCATTTGAAATGTTTTATTATACAGGGTGAGTCTATAAGTGCACCTTATTTGTGCTGCTTTGTGCAAATATTTTCAGGTTTGGTAGATATGAATAAAAGAAACATAATATATTTTTTTTACCGTGTTTCAAGTAAGTCCAAGATAACCAAGTTATTAAAGTTTGAAATTTTTTTAAAAAATTTGCCACCGAAATTTTTCTGTATTTACATCTCTTTTTGTGCCGTAATATCAAAGATTAAGAAACTATACGGTGGGAAAATTTGCGGTGAACCGGAAGTTCTAAAAAATTTTCTAAAATATAGAGGAAAATTTAATAAAAGAAAAAGCACGATTTTCAACATCTTTTTGCAAAAAAAAACTTCATAGACGTGTTCCTGGGATCGAAATATACCACCCCTGAAAATATTTGCACTTATTTAAGACTCATCCTGTATAGTTTTTCCACTATTCTTTTATTAATAACTAATAAAGACTCCGGCGGGCATACAACAAAAAAGAGTGAATATCATCTAAGTAGTCTCGATCTAAGTGTATACTAGAAATTTTATAAAAATATATAGAATTATACAAAGTTGTGTTTTTTCTAATGGAACACTCTATATATTAATTGATTTTCAGATTCTAGGAAAAAAACAAAGGTGAGTTTTATTAAAGAAGCATATACCTAAAATCTAAGGATTTTGTGAAAATGAAGGGTAAATTTTAAATTTCGATAACAGCTAACTAAATTTTAGTTGACCTTGTTTAGCCTCATATTTAATTACAGTAACCATTGTATGTTAAGCCAAATTAAAATTTGACCCAAAAACAAATTTAATATGGAACATTAGTCACTTTTAAAAGCAAGTTACTCCTTTATTTTAAATGGAACACCCAGTATATTATTCCAGTGTTCAATGGGGAATTTATATATCTTCAAAATATTATTAAGGTTGTCTACCCCTCAGACAAAGATTTTCCTAGATATTTTAATTTTTATGATTTTGCGTCAGTAGATCTTTATTATTTGAAGAAATCTAGGAGTGGCTGTGATATACCTTTGGTTTCTTTAACAAAAATTAAAGATTGTAGAGTCAAATTTTCAACGGTAATAAAAAAAGATACACGTTTAAAGCATATTTTAATTATTACAGAATTAAAACTAGATATAAACGTATAATTATGTGACAAAAATTAGCTAGATGAAATCAAATGCTCAAAATGCTTCCTTTCCTGTTAACTGCATAAAATTATTGTCTTTTCAAAGGGATCTTTTCATTTTAAAAAGCATATGTGGAGTTCTACCTCGAAAAGCTGCTTCAATGATTTCCCTCATGTTGTCGACAATAGTTGGTCGAGTTTTGTAAGCACTGTCTTTAACATATCCCCATAAAAAAAACCAGACTAGGTAAAATCAGGAGCATTTAAGTATTCTATTAATGGTGAATGGAGTGTGCATTCACCAACTAATAGAATCAAATCAATTCTTTGTGATGTAGGATAAGTTTGCATTTTCGGCAAATTTCTGAGATTTTTTTTTTGTTTTAACTGATACAAAATGATAACTAGTTGTTAAAGTTGGATTAATTAGACAGCTATGTTAAAGTAACGTCAGGCATATCACAGCCACCTAGATTTTATCAAATAATAAAGATCTATTAAGAGTGAAAACATGTAAATTAAAATATCTGTGAAAATCTTTGTTTGAGCGGTAGGCAACCTTAATAGTATTTTGAAGAGACATGAATTCTTCATTGAATATTGGAATAATGTACTGGATATTCCATTTAAAATAAAAGAGTAACGTGCTTTTAAAAATGACAAATGTTCAATATTAATTTTGTCTCACCCTGTATAACTTTTTGGATCAAGTTTTAATTTGATTTAAAGTACAATAGTTAATTTAACTACATATTAGGTTAAACCGGGTAAATTCTAAATTAGGTAACTTTTATTGTAATATAAAAATTGTTCTTTATTTCTAGAAAATGTTAAATATGTCATAAACCTTACAGTACATCTGCTGGCTCTGTGTCTATGAAAGGAATGCGGACAAAAAACATTTAAATAAACAACAATATATTTTATACGTCGACTTGACGAGTACGTCACCGGAAATCGCTCCTCCCACTCATTTTATTGGCTACTTGCAAATTTGTCGAATTTTTATTGATGGGACGCTTAGTCTAATTTTTTACGAAAAACATCGAGAGAATATCGTTGCCCCTCTCACGGATACCCCGTAACTACAGAACCAACAGACGTACTGTACATTTTAGTCATATACTTCTCTTATAAAACTGACCTTTATTTTTCTTCAAGAATCCTAAAATAAATTAATATATAGGGTGTTCCATTACAAAAAACAAAACTTTGATATGTAACTTTTTTGGGGGAAACCCTGTAGAACTCTCTATATTTTTAAAAAGTGCTCTGAATTAACCTACATATACCCAAAAAAATTCATTTTAATACAAACTGTCGTTCTCCTTGGAGCCTCCGCGGCGCCGGCGCACAGTGTTTCCATCATATGGGATAATGGGACAAAAAGCATTACGTTCTCGAAATTCTACTGAAATTTAGTATCTGGGGGTTTTCGAGGTAGGGGATCACGAATTTGAGGTCAAAAGTTCTTAAATTTCTGGATAGAGGATTTTCCAGATATTTTGGAAAAATATTGAAATAAAGCAGGCGGAATTTGTTTTTTGCCAAGATATAATTTGATAGGGATCGATTTTACCCCTTCAATAAACTTCTGGATACTTTTAGTTTTCCAGAAATTAAAAAGGGTACTTTTAAAATCCAATTAAAATTTTTCTTGAGTGTATTCTTTACTTGGATGTAAAAGTTTATTTCATCTATGACATTTTTAAAAAATCTGGAAAAGTTGAGTAACAATAATTTATAGTTGTTATACCGTAAGACCCGGAATGGTTTTAAGTCTTTAATATCTTGCTCTACATTTAAAAATGTTTTTATTTTCAAAACAATCATGTGTTCTTTGTTCTTTGAACTACTTAATAGCCACTCTTCAAATGATATATTTTTGGGTATCTCATAGAAGACATCTAAAAAAATTAATAACTAACAAGGGTACAGATTAAGGCAAAACCAAAAAGTTGCATAACAAAGAACACTGGTGGAGGTAATATATTACGAAAATTCGTGGAGGACATACGAGGACATTAAATAAAAAACAAAAAATAAAAATATGCAAGTAAAAAATTAACCGTAAAACCGGCGGAATAAAATACATACCTGTATAACTACAATCCATAGTTAGGCACTCTAAATATTTAATAAATGCAGAAAAAATAAAGTTAATCTGCTGTACTCCCAAATCTTAATGTACTGACCAAAACCAAATTATTTTTCTTATCAGTTCTAAGCAATAATTCCTTATTCTTTCTCTCGTTTAAAGGAAGAAAAGCTCGTTTAAAAGAGCTTTTCTTCATTAATTGACCTCCAGTATAAATTTTGTTTTCGCATTTTTTTTCGTGGTAGCTAGAGGGCGCTGTTTTACATCATAACAGACATTGCGCTTTTGCGTAAAAAAATTAAATAGGAGGCTATATTTCTCTTTACACAGTTAAATAGAGCACACAATTTCCAAAATATCAGCGCAAACCGCAACTTTCTATCTTCTCTCTAACCGGAGATATTAAGAGAACAAATCATGTTAGGCTGCCGCTTAGGATTATATAGTCTAAAAATTATAATAGTAGGCTAGGAAACAAAAAGAGGTAAATTGGTTACGTCAAAATATCAAAACATATATTTTAATTTCATTTTAATACCGTTTAATTATTATTTATCCATGTTTCGTTTTTGATTCGACCCGATAAATTAAAACCCAGGCATATTGTATCCGATATTGATGACCGAGCTGACCATGGAAATATACCTCTCCAGCGTCTCTATCTACTAAAGTAAGTGGTATCCAAGAAGCCCCACACATTCACAGCAAAATAAGCGGCACCCAAAGACATTATAAAGATAGACCGAACATCTCATTCATAAACACTCGTTGGTAGTGTATCAAACATTCCAATGTGTCAAACAAGGACAGAAGAGACAGAGAAGTCTAAAATTTCCGACCTGGCAACTAGGCGCATTTCGATTGTTCTAATGGCCAGTGGCGTATCGTTTTTTGGAAAGCATTTAATTCGTATAAAGTAAAAGTAAATTAATTAGTAAAATTTATACTCCATACTAATATACTACATTAACGCTTTTTCGTCAGATGAGTTTTGTTATAAGGTCTAATATAATAATATAATTAATATCCCACATATACCTATGTTGAAACGTTAGTAGGTGGTTTTCGAAAATCGCTCCAACGTCGATTTTCAATTTAAACTTTCAGTTACTTTTGAATATTCACAGGGTGACTCAGGCTTCCGAAACAGTTCTACATTAGGTTTGTGGTTGGTGACTTTTCTTTCAATTTTTTTTCAGAATATGGAGGCAATGGCAAAGCACATTTTAGACATTTTTGTAAACATAGGTGGCCGGAACATATTATCAAACT